GCTACTGTGATGTTGAATGGTTTGCCTTGGATTCGAACTGAGATCATTCTGTCATTTTGGAGATTGTATCCCAGTACTGCTTTTCCTACTCTTTTATTGACTATGAAGGCTACTCCATTTCTTCTGAGGGATTCTTGCCCACAGTACTATACCCGATGGTCATCTGAATTAAATTCACCCATTCCTGTCCATTTTAGTTCACTGATTCCTAAGATGTCGATGTTCAGTCTTGTCACCTCTTGTCTGATCACATCCAGCTTGCCTTGATTCATGGATCTTACATTCCAGGTTCCTATGGAGTATAGGTCTTTACAGCATCGGACTTTCCTTTCACCACCAGATACATCTGCAACCGAGTGTCTTTTCAGCTTTGACCCAGTCGCTTCATTCTTTCTGGTGCTACTAGTACTAGCCCTCCACTCTTTCCCAGTAGCATATTGGACACCTTCTGACCTGAGGGGCTCATCTTCCGGCGTCATCTCTTTTTGCCTTTTGGTACTGTCCATGGGGTTTCCATGGCAAAGATACTGGAGTGGGTTGCCATTTCCTGCTCCAGTGGATCAGCTTTTGTCAGAGCTCTCTGCTATGATCTGTCCGTCTTGGGTGGCCCTGCATGGCATAGCTCATAGTTTCATTGAGCTACACAAGCCCCTTCGCCACAACAAGGCAGTGGTCTATGAAGGAGTACTTTAAAACATTATAAATGGCTGCATGGATGAACTTAATGAAAGGAAACCATGACTGCTGGAGTTCCTGGAACAGAGGAACCTGCCTTAGTCCTGTGTAAATTGCATTCATTAAAATGAATGGGATCTAAATTATTTGTGACAATTCTCATTACTCCCTGTAGATCAACTGTGCATCAGACTAACTTTGGCTACAGTTCAGCCCAATATTGTCCACACTATTGGAAGCATTTATCTGGGCCTTCAGGCAGGCGTTTGCCAGAAAATGCCAGAAATGCCATAAACTGAGCCTGAGACTTTGCTATACACAGGCTCTGCCACTCAACTGTGGCCCACTGCCTGGTAGATCCTTTCTGAGACAGGGAAATGGATTTCCATAGTGTCCCAGGCCCTCCCCAGTTCACGGATTCCAACATGCACCTCTCCTGATACCGGCAGGGCTTTGCTCCTCCCTTCCTTCCTTCTGTCCAGCATAAAGGTGCAGACCTATAGAAGCTCATGTTTTGTGCTTGAAAAGGCAAGTCTCTGCTTCTTGCCATTCCATGGTGCCACTATGGATATTTTGCTGCCATCGTCTGGCATGAGCACCAAAAGCCATTTTCTTGCCAACCATCAAAAGACCATGCACTGCTTTTCCCCTGTTGTAGAGTTCTCTTTGTTTTACTAGATCTTGCTCAGGAAAAATTCCTGCAGGAATTTGCCCAGAATTATTGCAGTACAATGCTGTACATGTCTACTCAGGAGTATATAATTCTATGTAAACCTGGTGGGTCTTACAGTGTGATTAAGTGATCCGTTTCTCCAGTACTACATAATGAAAGATAGAATGAGGTCTTGCAGTGCGAGCCTTGCAAGTTAATACCTTCTTGTCACCGGTCCCTTCTTTAGCCCTTACTATAGAGACACTTTCAGGGAGCATGCTCTCTAATGTGTATTACACGAAGAAAATAATTTTGTTTGCATTTTTGTTTCCTAGGCTTTTTTCTTGGTCTATGCTCTGGGATGTTTAAGCATTTATTGCAATGAGGTAAGATGGTCTAGTCACTGGCAAGCCATGTGTGCGTGATCTGTTGCTATGCGCACGCTTCGTGTGCAAGAGGCAACCTGGGCTTTTGTTTAAAGGGATGAATCACTTTCACTTCTCCGACAATCTTACATTGTATCCACGTAATTGGATCTTCTTAGAGTACAATCCTGCACTGGTTATGTGTATCTGTAGAATTCAGTTGTAAGTATGAATTTCCAATCAGTAATTTATTTCTGTAGACCTAAGTGGCTATAACAGCATGCAAGATTTCCTAATCTTTCATGTGACAGTACACTTTATCCCTGGCCAGATTTTGTGTGGATACAAGTTGAAGCAAAATTGGCGAAAGGGACTGTTTGATAAATGCTGACTTAGGGCGTGATGCTGCCGGGATGAACAGAGCCTGCAAGCTCAGAGGAGGACAGATACCCAGTGGAGGGTGGGAGGAGCTCAGAGGCCAAGGGAGTTTCTCCACTCCTCCTGCCCTGCAGCTTGGCTACATGGCCGTCTTGAAGGGCGAGGTACCAGCAGGATGCCTCATAGCTTGCCTGCCCCTGTCTCCCTCCTCCCTTAAATATCGCCCCCGGAGTCACTCTCGCAATCTCGGAGACATGGCCACTGTAGGGGGCAGCACTGTGAATGTGGGGAGCCAGCTGTGGGGCTGATCTCCAATCCTGTCACTGGGCCTCTGAAAAATCCACTGGTCATCTAGATACTGCCTAACTTTGGGCTGTTAATTGGTTAAAGAAAATGGGCAAATATATGGTTCTATATTTTAAAATATAAGTCCACAGTGCAGCAAAGCTGATTTACTATCAAAGCAGAAGTTTTTGATACCAGCATTCAAAAGCTAGATGGCATTTATTTATTTAAAAGCTTCTCTAGATCATCAAAAGGCACCATTTATTCTAGTGAATCACGTGACGGTTTACAGCAATTAATGTCCCATCTCTCATTGAAAAATTTATATCTGGCTTCTGTGCGTGTGCCGTTTGAACCAAATCCCATAAAATACAACTCTTTACAAATGGTTAAGGTTGTTGACAGTTGCTAACAATAATAGGCTGCATCATGGACCGTGATCATATGAAGCCACCTGGTTGTGTGTTTAGGTACCTTTATCCATCCTGAAGCTTTGGGAAGTTTTTAGTGACACACAGCCCAGTTTCAAGGCCACGTACATGGCGTATCACTACTTCCGTGCTAAAGGATGGGTCCCTAAAGTTGGACTGAAGTATGGAACAGATCTCTGTGAGTATTTGCTTTCCACTGTTTGCCGCTTTTGATTTTCCTTGTAACAGAGGGCCAGGTCACTGATGGCGGCTGCACACGCTTGGCTGAGCCAGGGAATGGTGTGTTGTAGGAAAGCTGGTGCTTTTGCATCCTCCAGGAGATGCTACTGACTGGGCCAGCCACCAGGTTCACATGTAACTGCAAGCTGTATTGCACCTCCAGCATGATGTGAACTTTCAGAATGGCAGCTTATGCCATGATGAGAATCCCTATGGGGAAATTCACCCGGAGTGGTTTCTTATTGCATGCAAACCGAGCCACTGACCCCCAGAAAACTTAGGACCAAGTTGCCTGAAAGACAGTCTCCCCCAGTATAGACTGTGCTGTTCTCCAGGGGAGGTCTTCCCATCTGCACCACACCCTGCAGAGTCCCATCTGGCAGCAACACAGTTGTGGGTCTTCTGTGTGGTTGTACCACCCCCTACTGGGATGGAGTCCCTTCAGTGATGCCACTCCCTGACTTCACATCCTTTTGATGATCACCAACAACTTGTTTACCCTGACTTTTCCCAACACAAACTTCTCTAAATACTGCTATGCTTTACATATTGGTTTGTAATACGTTGCAAGCTGCTTCAGGATTGTTGAAATGGGAACCATACATAAATGTTTATAAGTAAATGTATTGGTGGGTAAATGTGGCACTAAAGTTATGAAATGCCACATGTTTGTTTTTATTTGCTGAGTCTTGTGTTTAAATGATCTTCTGGTTGTAGTCTTTCTACAGTGGTGGAGTGTGTGTGTTTCAGATTTGTTGCATATTCAGTTGTGTGTAGTTTGCTCGGGTATCGAGTACGGTGGTCCCATCTCAGTCCTCGTCCCATTTGTTGATTTCTTTAAATAACAGATGTGTGGACTGCGATAACATAAAAATGTTTAATAAATGGCTTGTAATCATCAGTGTAACCAACTGTCTTTTTAGCATAGACAAAAATAATGTGGCAATTTATCAAACACGTTCTTCATGTTACCAAATGCATTTAGCACTGTAAAGCTCTTTGTGACCCTCGTTTTGTGCATCTTTCCTAATTCCCCTTAAAACTTTTGAGCATGATGTGTGAGCCTCCAGTCATTTCTTTGGCTAAGATCGAACTCGACTTAATTAATGCAGATGACTCCACTACCTCATATCTAAGAAGAGGAGAACTAGCAAGAGAGTGGCTATTCTAAACATGGAACAACATGACTTATGCATTGTTAAAGCATGTAATGCTTTAAGTAACTATCTTTGTCCAGTAAAAGTTCATTTCACTTCTGTTAAATCTGCTGTTAACATTCTCCTCTAAACTGTCCCTTGGCAGCCTCACCTGTTGCCTGCTGGCATTGTGCCTTCTACTGTATGGAAGTTGGAAGAGCCACTTAATTGCGCTGACTGTGTATAGGACTTCATTTGTGAATGCATCTTTGCTTCCCCCTCTGAGTGTGTTTCTGTAGATTAGGGTGGTCCAACATGCAGCCTGTGGGGCACATGTGACCCCCGAGACCTAGTTCTGCAGCCCTCTTGCTGCTCACACCCCCCTGCTTCCCCCCAGTCCAGATCCCAGCGATGGCACAGGCATGATTGCAGGGAGCTCTCCCGAGGCCATGCCCTGTCCTGCTCTCCCCGAAGCTCAGGAAGAGAGCTGGTCAGGCTGGCGGCCTCAGCAGAGCTTGCCCCACCATGCCCTGCGCTGCTCCAGCTGCTGAGTGCCTTTGCAAGAGGCTCGGTGCACCAGTTCCAAGAAGGAAGGAAGGAAGGGCTGTGGGGGGGGGGTCACATGGGAGGGCTTCTGGGTGAGAGAAACACCCAGGGAAGAAAGGGATGAGCCACCCCAGAGGAGCAGTCACTGTGCTTGAACTGTGGTGGGAGAAGCAGCAGCTTGCGATCCCTGCAGAGAGCCCAGGCATGCAAAGCAGCGTCTTCAGATCTGATGCGTTATGTGGGCCTTGCTGAATTCAGGTTGTTATTGATCCATTTTTTTGCCTGAAGGTGGCACTACTGGAAAAAAACCTTAAATCATTTCACTCCTAGCTAGCTCACTATATGTATATTTAGTGTGCCCATTTACCCCTTCCAACTGTGGGTAAAACAAAAACTGATCTTACTAAACTTTTTTTTTTTTTTTTTAGATTTGCAGAGTTGAGGCATGGAGAAGCCATGGGTCCTATCCTAGTGCGATTCGCAATGGAGCAGGCATGGCATTTCTAATAAGTGCTTGTTTTTTGTTCTCCCTGTTGCAGTGTTGTATCGAAAAGGCCCTCCTTTTTACCATGCCAGGTATAACTTATTTTTGGATATATATTTGCTTTATGTTCTTTTGCTTTATTTTGATCACTAATTGAAACCGAGTTACATTTGATATGTCTTGGCTTGTTTTCTTAGTTCATAAGAATGTTTTCGCACCATTGCACTGAAATAAACACAGTCAAAGTAATAATTTGCACAGCAGGCAGACATTTTAATAGCATGCTGGGGTTAGGACTTCACAGGTATTTTCTGTGTGTCTCACAGAGTAGCACTGGAAAGACTGAATTTTGGTACTAGCATAGCTTGGTGCAAAACACTTTTATTGATGAACTGCAGAGATGCAAAGTATTCTTGCTGACTTTGGTGAAAGGCCCTCATTATATCAATAGTATGCATTTTATTAAGAAGAATTCATCTTGCCTTTAAATAATTAACAAAAGTATTGACCATTTTAAGCAGTTTATAGGTAAACTCTCTTTAGTCTACACAATATAGAAACAGCGAGTCAGAAGGGGTCTCCCAAGCCATCTAGTCTGACCCCCCGGCTCCAGGCGGCTCCGCTCATGACATGCCCACCATGTGCATGTCCAGCCTATCCTTGAACACCCTCACTGCTGGGGCTTCAACCACCTCCTGTGGAAGCCCATTCCACACCCTCAGGGTCCTGACTGTCAGGAAGTGCTTCCTGGCATCTTACTTGAACCTTGGTTATACTAAGTTGCTGACTGGAAACTCCAGGTAAAAGACAGTCCCTTTTATTAACAGTCCCTTTTAACCTTTCTCTTAAGGTAGAGTTTAAAGGACATGGTGCACTTTTGGCTTACGTGTTCACTAGAGCGGCTTCTTTCACTGCGGCTGGAAAGACCCAGCCATTCTTATACCATTCTTAGCTTGATATGATCCTTGCAGCAGCTGTAGAGGAGAGTGGTTTTTAAATCCATATTTCACCCCACTAACCTTTAATTTTGTTTCCAGTTATTCTGTGATTGCTGAATTTGTGAATGATGACTTTGAAGGATCATTGTGCAGACCGTTCAGCTGGAAGTCTCTGTCTGGGTTGAACAGAACTACAGCAAATGTGTCTAAGGTAACTGGTAAAAGGAGCAAAGCATTTTAAATGACACAGTAAAAATAAGAAATGGAAGTGGATATATTGATGGACTTAGGGCCTAAGTATAGATTATAGAAATGTGTCAGTACTGGGCAAAAAGATTTCTGGAAATTATATAAATACAGCTTGCACCCTACAAGTGTAAAAATGTTCCCAGTTACAACTGGAGAAATCCCCTTTCCATAAATAGGTTGTAACCAGTGTGTGGCTTGTTCCATTTTCAGGTATGCCTCTACTGAGGCCGCTTTGAGGGTTTAAACAAGGAATGCCTTCCTACATTTTAGACCACTTGTTCATTAATTTCTTCTGTGCTAGCCACAGATAAGATGATTTCAGATTCCAAGGTTTTAAAAAAGTTAGAAGAATGTGTCTAATTCCATTCTTCTAGTAATCATAGTCTTGGCCTACATTTGCACAGAATTTCAGCTTTCTACTTTACTTGGAAGTACCTTACAAATTTTAAGTGGGGGAGAAATTCCCAATTTAAAATTTCTCTAGTAATTAAAATATTTTGGAAAATTTTCTAGCTGATCACAAAAAGTGTCTTTAATACACAAATTTGTACTTTTCTCAGATGTTATTATGTTGTTTGTCTTTAACACAGCATTTGTTTTAATGTCATAGAATATCTGCAGTAAATACACTGGAAAGGCTACTAATCTGGAAACAGACAGAACACCTAATAAATAGGGTTGGGATGTACCCTTTCATAATCCATCCTTCTAACATCCATGGACTTCCTCTTATTCTTCGTATGGTCCTGCAAAGTGAGCTGAGCTGAGAGGAAGCCCTGGAATGCTTGCAGACCCCCGGCTGGGCAACCAGCAACTTTCCCCATCAGGAGCAGCTGCAGGACACAGAAGGGGGATGGCCAACCTTCTTTTCCAGCTGCTGCTGCCATTTCCAAAGCTACTGCAGAGCATGAGCCTCAGGGCCTTTCCCAGCAACCAGCCTTCTTTTGCAAATCTTGGATATGCTCACCAGGAACTCAGGCTCAGGCTGTGCAAAGCAGACGGGGGTCTAGCAAGCCAAGCCCAGGGAATCCAAAAGATTCCCACCCCCAAACTGATTCCTCTCACTTCCCTACTAATAACTGTTGTTCAAGGCAATACCTGAAGTCCAGGACTTCTAATTATGCATGTGTGGACATGCACACCCATCACAGTACTTCAGATGGAAATTCACTCCAGAAGGTTAAGAGACTCTCTGGAGATTCCCCAAATGAAGCAAAGCAGCTGCGATAGGAAGGGACATTCATAGTTTTAGAATGCACAGGGGTTTTGGAGCTCTGGTTTCAGTCAGGATCTGACAGTCCGATAATGGCTTATACAAAATCTTTTTTTTTTGGATGGGTGCTGGGAATGTCTTTGAACCCATGTCTCCTTAATAAAAGTTCAGCATCATATTTTTGGAACCACACAGACTCTTCTCTGCCTCATAGATTAAAAAGACTCTTGTTTTTTTAATTCACCTTGGAGAAAATGTCCAGGTATGCTTGAATTTGTATTTTGTTGATAACATGCAATTTCTTTGCTGTCAGGAACTCATGTTCTGCTATTTGATTAAGCCATCTGATATGACTGAAAAGGAAATGTCATCACCAGAATGTCTCAAAAGGATTAAAGTTCAGGTAGGTGAGCTGCCTCTGATTTGTTCACTGAAGCTGATGACTTCAAGGCATCCTATTCTCTGGCTAGCCATGGATAGGACTGTATACAATCCTGTTTGAAATGGCCCTGAATCAGGAGATCTGTGTTTCAACCAGAGCTAGAGAGCATAGTTAATTTGCATAAGAACCTCGGAGCCCTGCTGCATCAGACCGAGCATCCTCCTGTGCCGCATTCTGCCCACATCGTGGCCCATGGGAAGCTCACAGGTAGGACATGCGTGCAACAGTGCCCTCCCACCACGCCCTGCACACTGCCGCTGATCTGGAGCTACTGCATAGCCATCGTAACACATAGCTTTCATATAGCCTGGAACGCCCATATATGAGGCGCTCAGCGATAGGGCGGCATACAAAAACTCTAGAGAGAGAGAGAGCGAGAGAGAGAGAGAAAGCGAGAGAGAGAGAGCGAGAGAGAGAGAGCGAGAGAGAGAGAGAGAGAGAGCGAAAGAGAGAGAGCGAGAGAGAGAGCGAGAGAGCGAGCGCGAGAGAGAGCGAGAGCGAGCGAGAGCGAGCGAGAGCGAGCGAGAGCGCGAGAGAGAGCGAGAGAGCCTGAAGTGCTTGAGCTGCCTAATCTTGGAAGCTAAGCTTTGTTGGGCTTACATAGCGCAGAGAGCTTTGGCTATGGGTGGTATAGAAATGTAGTAATAACCAGGACTAGTCGCCATCGATGGGCCTCTCTCTATGAATTTGTGCAATCCACATTTAAAGTCATCCAAGTTGGTGGCCCTCACAGCTTATGGAAGTGAGTTCCGTTGTAACTATGTGCTGTTTGAAGCAGTGTGTCCTTTTATCAGTCCTAAATCTCCCACCAGTCAGCTTCATTTTTTCTTTTCCTGTAGATGTTATAGGAGTGAATAGGAATCTAGATACTAGAAGTAGTTTCTGTGCCACTCACAGGTGAATCAGTCTTGAACTAGAAATGCAAAGAAGTGTAAGTCATGATGGCTGAGAATAACTAGTTAGTCTCACAATTTGGAGGGTAACAGGTTTGGGGAGGCGAGTTCCATTCTGAACAGCAGGCCAGTATAATCACATAGTGGAACTGTGCAAACCCAGGTACACGCCATTAGAAGATGAAAAGGTAACAACGGTATTTTTGGTGCCTGAAGCCATGTGCACACTGAACATAGTTCCCTGGATCTCAGTTGGTGGGAAGCATTCAGCAAAAAGTGAACTGATTGACCTGAACAGGAGTCCCTGAAGCTACTTCAGCTTTACAAAAGTGTGTCTATGTGAGTGAAGGGGTAGGGGAGAGGGGAAGGTAAGGTGGATGGGCATTCAGAAACACCCAGAACACATCGGAATTCTGTTGTGAGAAGTATCTGCATTGATGACTTGTCTTATCCAAGAAAGAAGCCAAGAAGTACACTTAGGAAAACTATGTTAGCTAGGAATGAGATCAATAATGATATTATTTTTGTTTATATGTTTTATCTCTTTAGTAAGCAATGGCTTTATTTTTAAGGTACTGGTTCTGAATCGTTGGGTCTCATCCTGTGAGCGGAATGAACAAGAGGAGCTATGATAAAATGGTCCAGAAAATTGAATTATGCTGAAATAATTAAAATAAACGGTCATGAACTGTCTGTGCATGCTTGTTTTATATTACATGTATATATTAAAAAACAATGTTATACGATAGAAGACTGCAAAAAGTTTCTGGTCTTTGTAAAGCACACCTGTCTGTTGAGCTACCCACATGGACACTGACATGTTTGTTCGTGCAAAGAGACATTCACTCCTCAGCTCACCATATGCTGATCTTTCATGGAATTGTAGCATAGTGTTTGCAAGTCATTAAGCTGCAGTAGGAACTGAGGAAGTTTCTAGTGCCTGGTGCACTGGAATTTGTTTCACAAACTGAAAATCAAATCCATTCTTTGCAAGTGTGTAAAAAATGCAGGCTGACAGAGCTGGGATCTGACTTACAGAGCAATGCTAGACTGGGTACTTGGAAATAAATCCCATGAAGCCAATGGGCTTACTCCAAAGTAAGTGTGCACAAAATTGTAGCCATCAGATTTAAACTGTGTGTGAATCAGAAAGTAATTTGGAATGGAACATTACAAATTTCCCCAACTACCAGCCTCGGTCAACTAACATTTTATTGTAATAAACACTAGATGTCAATGGAAGAAGTTTTTTCTCTGAATGGCTAACAAATGAAGATATTGGTTGAGCTGTGGACTCTCTCACCACTGGAAAGAGGGGGCAACTTTCATCCATTCCCTCTCCTCCTTTATAGCTCTGCTGAAGAACCTCCACAACAGTGGGAGTTGAGTTGCAGAAAGGGGGAAGTGGTGAAAATGGCCTTTTCCCTCGCTTCCACCTTAGGATTTTCTATGAATCTTGGCCCCAGCTGTGAAGGGAAGGCTCCTTTCTTTCCACTGATGTCTAGTTAGGAACCAAACCAATGTCTTTCTTTTATATGACAAGAAACGGACTCAGCTCTGCCCCATTCAGAATAGCCATGCATTCAATGCAGGGACCTCACAGAGCAAACATACACAGCAGTCAGAATGAAGCCATGGCTGCTGGTACCCCAGGCACAAGCCCTGCATGCCCATGGTCTGGGAGGGAGGTGTCTGCGCCCACAGTAGTGGGGAGGGAAACTGAATTCAGTTTATGGAGTACCTGAAGTGCAACGCCTGGGTGCCCTCAATGCACATACCGTGTTCTGGGCCTCTAAGTTTCATGGTCTTGGTGATGGGATGTAGTCGGACACCTTAGAGATGAAATGTCATTTGTTTTGAAAGACAGCAGCTTATTGGAAAGCTTATGTTCTGTCTCAAGACACTGCAATCTTATGGACACTCATGGGACTTCTTTCCAAATGGCCCTGCACTGAACCATGCTGCCAGCTTCTCATTTGTCTCACGTGAGAGAGCAGGAACAAGAAGCTGAAATATCTTACAGCTCAATGGCTGTAACCCTCTGAACTCAGAGGACTACAGGCATCCTATGGAGAGGCCAGGAGAAATGTGGAGGCAAAGCACTTTGCAGAACAAGCTGCTGGGCAATCCTGGCTGTGTGAAGGAGGCTGGGTTGCCTCCCAAATAGGTCACATCTTGCTGTGCTGGTCTCCCATCCCCACCCCTTGGAGCCCCCTCTAAACCTCTTCTCTGAGGTTGTTCCTGTGGTCTCGGAAAAGCAGCTGGTGCATTTTTGGTGGGCACGCCCTATGCTCCAAGATCAGAGCTATTTCCCAACCTAAGAGCTGGGAAGATGGATGATCCTGTGGCCATCTGGTAGCCATAGGATCACTCTGGTAGCCCGATTATTTTACTTTCTGGTGTTCTGTTTTCCGCACAACGAAATCAAATAGTCCCTGTGGAAGTGCTGCCCTCTTGAGCAGGATGATCAACAGCATAGAAGCCATTCTTGCATATTTCCTTGTAGATCGTGATATACTTGGAAGCTTTCTTTGTTCGTGGAATCACAAATTTCTCTGTAAATTCGCTTTTGTTCATTTGCTGTTTCTTCTGTGCACTCAACACACAGTTAATAAATGTTAGTGCATATGTGTAACAGTTGTGCATATGTTCTTCATACCTATTAAACAGAGTGAGAAACAAGGATCAGAAATCAATGCTCTAACTTTGAGTGCAATCCTATGCATGGTTAGACAGAAAAAAGTTGTACAGACCAGGATAGTAAGCTGAGTGATGTAGGACTTTTGCTATTGCAGGACAATCACAAATAGGATTGTGACCTTGTTTGCATATGATACAGTCCTAGCCATGGTTTACACTGCCTGGCTGGGGAGAGGATTGTGACTAAGTTTCTTCTAAAATGCACAGTATTTTTACCCTGCCTTTCAGTTGAAAAAATGCCCACAGCCCCTTAGAGTAAAATAAGCTGTCACATTTACAATCTGAAAGACACAACTCCAAAGAAAAATGGATTGGATGTAAAAAAAAAAAAGCAAACACTAGCACTAATTCTCTGTGAAGAAGCTTTTGCCATGAATTGGGGGGAATGGAAGCAACTCAAAGAAAGGAAGAGCCAAAAGTTGCCTGTGTCTCAACTGAGTTGAGGGATCGGCCCTGGTTTCCGCTCCCTCTTCTACTGCCTGATGGAATGGATGCTGGATGACGGCTGCTGAAGCAGCAATGCACCACTTCATGGGTGGTCCTGCTTCGCTTCTCAGCCTCTGCTGCAGCCTATAGAATGGTACCTGCATGACAATTCATGGTGCTGTTCTCAGGCCATTCCAGCACAGTCACACTTGGCTGGCAGAAATACGCACCATCATATGATCTATGCAAGGGTAAATTTAAATATGGCGGAGTTGGAGATGTGAAACTAAGAAGAGCCATGATGGATCAGTTAAGGTTTCTATCTAGTCTAGTAGTCCTTCCACAGAGTGGCCAACTGATTGCCACTGGGAGAGCCACAAGCAGGATCCAAGTGCAACAGCCCCTGCTGCCCACGTTCCCAGCAAAGCCCCAGAAATAATGCAGAATGATTGTTTATTGCAGTTCATACTGCCCATCAGCATGCCATTCATAAAACTAAGTTAAAAACATAAAACACAGTGACATAGTGGCGCTTAATATAAAAACCATACATTTAAAACTGAATAGAACTGAAGTAGCATGAGTGCAAAGATTTAAACATGGATGAACACTTAAAAAAAAAAAGCCAGGGTGTTCATTAAATGTTATCTGGCACGGAATAGACCACAATGTAAGTACCTGGTACAATTCCATAAGGGTGTTACCAGTGAAAAAACCCTCTCCTTAGTAGCCCTCTGCCTCACGTTGATTTTCCAGAGGCACCCAGAGATGTTAGAGTCCAGGCAGGTAGGTAAGTCCATTGAGTCCACTTTGACTTGACCCCAGAAATGGCTGGCCAACCGGTGCAGCTTGCAAAGCACTGCGCACGATCATGTTAGACAGTCTCCATTAACAATTTCCCGGTCCCACTTTGGACCAGTTGAATTTTCTGTTGTTTTCAAAGGTGACCTGGTGTGTCACGCACTGTGATAATCTAAATGATGCCGAATAGTCTTTGCTAGACTCCTCCTCCATAGAGTTGTCTGATCCTTGTCTGAAGCCATCCAACTTGGTGGCTGTCACCACATTTTGTGGTAGCAAATGCCATAGTTTTAATTTTAATAGTTTGGGGGAAGGGTGGTTGGACGTCAGGACTGGGAGTACTCCAAGTACAAATGGAAAGTACAGCTGAGTATTTAAAGCCCTCATGTTCACCTTGGCAGGCCTTCACCAATTGTAACCATTCAACTGATTCATTGATGAGAAGCCTGTCAAAGATGCTATTTTTGCCATCTTCACATGTTCCTGTGGAAAAATCCAATTTATCAACAGCATTTGATAAATGAATTTCCTCTTATGTGATTGAAATATGCCCCAATAATTTGTTTGTTCTGCAAATTTTCAGTGAAAAAGAGTATGCATCTAGAGAGAGGAGGACATGGTTTAGTTACAGCAATTAAAGTGCGACTGAGGAACACGGTAGTCAAGTTTCAGTACAACCCTGCCTTGTACATGTTTACTCTGAGGAAAATCCCAGCAAATACAATGAGACTTACTCCAAGGTAAATTTGTATTAGATTGCTGCATCAACCTTTCAACATGTTCCTTGTTATTTTTGGAACAGTGATCCGTTAAAACTGGCTAAAATAGCTAGGGAATGGCTTCATTATAGTATTCAGATGTATTTCTCATATTAAACAAACAGGAAGAAGTTATATAACTAACTTTGTTTCAACAAAATGCAAAGTATGTATTCTGTTTAGCTTTGTGAGAGACAGATTTAGACTTTTTGTAAGGACGAAATGGGGGCAGTGCTTTTGCAGACTACACACGCTCTCAGGCCCTATGCTTCTGGGTGGGCTTTGCTTGAAACAAAACAGATGAGAGACTCAGTCACAAATCTTATGGCCTTCTCCTTAGGAGAAGGAGCAACATGAGGCGATATTTTAAATGTGCCTATTGTGTGATTTAGGTCTTTGTTTCCTCATTGAATTGCAATGAAGCCATATACCTCAGAATGGATAATCCCATTACTTTGCTTGCAAGAGGAAAAAGGATGGGCTATAAAAGCAACGTGATAATAGCTCTCATAAAAATGCACTGCTTTTAATCACATTATACTGTGGCAACATTAGTGGGCACTGGACTTCCCAAAGATTTACATGCAAGATGTTTAGGCCTCACAATGGTTATGGGTTCTTTCCTGAATCACTGCTACCTGTGCTAAGCTCCCGTTAGAAGGCAAACATCATTTATTTGAATATTTTAAAATTCTATAACTTGCAGTAAACAAGCATCAGCCTCTTAGGGCACAATCCTATGCATATCTAGACAGGAAAAACATTTTACAACCCCCAGCATTCCCCAATGGAAGTTGTAGGGCTTTTTTCCCTGTCTAAGCATGCATAGCATCATGCCCTGAATGTTTGCAGGTTCTTACTGATCTTTATCAATATACGTACATAACAAGGGCAGTAAAAGCAAACATGGGCAAAACAGGCTTCATAGAAGGTCTGTGCGTGTGCCGTTGTTATGAAAAACTTTCCTCTCTCCACTACTAGAATATTTGGAAAGCAATCCAAAACAAGAACCAAACCTTTCTTTCTAGTGCTACAGTACAGGTTGTACTAGGTTAGCCTTCCTCAAACCAGTCCCCTTGAGCAGTTCCTGACTGGGGACAGTGGGTTCTGCAGTGCAGCCTCTCCAGAGGGCAACGGATTGTAGAAGGCAGTGCTCAGAAATGGAAGCACCACTCAGCGTGTGGAGTGCACACTGGGAGCGATTTGAATCATCACTGCATCAGCAAGACTAGTGAAAATGTGCTATGAAATGTTGAAAGTGGAACAGAAAGTTACGTTCAAGGAACCTTGATAGTACAATTAGGTTAAGGCATGAGCAGTGATTCATGTTTTTAAATTATGTTTTGAAGTTTCATGAGCCAACCCAGGAATTTTTTGGAAGGTTGGGGTATAAATGCCTCAACTATTATACCAATTATAAATAAGAATATTCACCACAGGACATGTGTGGTCATTGCCCTCAGATCTTGAGAATTCAATTTTTTTTCTTAAGTGTCCTACAACTCCCGGCACACAGGCCTTTTTTCTGTCTAAGCATGCACAGAATTGCACCACGGCACTATTTTCACCAAATGCTACCTACTGACAATTCATCAAATATGAGAGACAAGTATAAACCTTGGTTTTTTAAACCTTTGGTAGTAAACAAACTCTAAGACATAGACTAACAGAAGCGCCGCAAATGTGCTTGTGTTTCATTTTGCTTTTAGGGCGAATTAGAAATTGCTCAGAATCTGCCCTATGGACTGCCTTGAAATGGAGCCATACAGAGGCAAACAGGAACAAAATGGGATCATGGAGCTTTTCTGTCCCCACATACCTTGCCCAATTCTGGGTTTTTAGATAATATAGAAACCGGGTTCACATGTCATTACAAGCAACCCTGCACGTCTACGCCAGTGTGCATTTTTATTACCTCGATGTGCCTGACAAGATGACCAGGCTCATGGCGCTCAGTCTCCTACATCCGGGTGACATCGCAGGAGACACCACGGGGAAGGAGGGACTGCAAGTCAAGTGGAGAGAGAGAAAGCTGCCAGGCACCCTTGCCTTCCCCTCCAGAGAGGACTGCCAGTGTAGGGAGGGTGCCTGGACACGGGTCAGGCAGAGGGGAGGGGAAACCAGTTGGGTGGCGCCACAGAAAGAAGCAGAGCCACTTGGCCGATTCCCCCACTGTACCCCATCTGTGTTCCTGAGAGGCCCCCCACACATGCAAGTGGGAGGTGTGAGAAATCAAATGACCCACTAGGGGCAGCAGCACTCAGCTGATTCTCTGCTTTGCCCCCTCCTTCCACCTGCAACAGAGGCTTTCTCAGTGGGGGGAGGCCGCACCTGCCCCCTTTTCTCACTCCCCCTGACCAGAGGCATCCCAAAGTTGGCAGAACAGACACCCTCTTCTGTTAACTGGAATGAATATTTTTGGAATAGTCACTGGCTCTGAAGTGGCTTTGTTCAATGCATGTTCCAAGTGACTGTACTCACTCTGTCAGAGAGCTGCAATCAGAACCGAGTGCCCAAGGTCAAGCATGGCTGTTTTGTTGCCTTTACAAATTAATCAAATCCATCTTCCATACCTGTGTGGAAGCCAAATTTCCGCAGCTGAGAACTGTTCGAGATATATGTCCCATTGGTTAAGCATTCCATACATGCCAGGCTGCACTAGCGGAACACTTATACATTGCTCCCATCCGTATCCAGCTATGTTAACTCCAGTTGCGCTGTAATTGTACACCAAACCTAAAAACATAGGCAGCAACAGGCCTAATTAGAAGCACAAAATCCAAGATGGCAACACTTTGACCATGGGTACAATTAATTTCCATCCCTTAATTATTCTCACCATCAACATCCTTCTCATTTATTTACAAAAACGTGTTATCTGAAAAATAGTCCTCAAACTTGGGTTATCCAATTCCACAGAATATACTACTATGCAAATATTTACAGAATTCACTGTAACCGATGAGCCAATTGCCTGTTTTCAAAGGGCATGTCTGAATGCTAATCCACTCTGACACTAAGGTATGCTGTGTTGGTTGTTGTGCAAACAACGGACAAGTGAACTCGTTGTGGCTTTCCCCAACTCGGAACTGTTCAGTTCTTCATTCCATATCCCAGAGAATTTAGGGGCTGAAGCTACTGGTCTCCTTTGCTATCATAATTCCAAGCCCTTCTTCTCTTTAAAAAGGGACATGGAGAGTTTTGGATTGGGACAGATATAGCCCTGATTTCAACAGGAATGAATTCCCCACTGAGAGCCTCCTGGCACCAACCTTACTATCTTTCCAGCGCCAGGTAAATACATCCTCCACTGCAGGGCATTCAAGGAGCCTCTTAGCTACTAACCGGTCTGCATATGTTTTATTTCTTTTTCTTTTTATTTAAGTCTTTAATATATACTTTATATTTTTTGAACCTGTGTAATATGTGGTTCTAAATTTCACATTGTAAACTTTTAATAATGTTTTAATATATCTTTATATAATGTATCTTTTATTGGTTTTTTTAATGTGCTTTGTGAACTTCCCAGAGAACTTTGGTTGTTGGGTGGTACAGAAATTAAATAAACAAATAAGTGAATAAATAAACATCTGCCAAAAGCTTGGAGAGCATGCACAAAATACCTTCTGTGGGTATGGAGGAGGAGAGAAAGTAGTCAGGAGTTCCAAGCACTTTCTATTTGTTTAAAAGCTTAGCAACATACTTCTCTTACCATTAGTATTAGTTATTCCAACATGAAGATCGGAATTTCCATCATATTCCCTGAAAGAAGAAATGTAACATTTTTCAAGCTGATAACTTGAAAATTATTGTGTATGTTCTATGTATGCTTTACAGAGATCTCACCTTACTTTTCTTAAAGATTCTGAGTGCAGCCATATTTAATTACTTTTAATGTCCTTGGTGCTGAAGCAATTATTTAGCCAGATTAATCTATTTAAAAACTGTTTGGTGAGTGTGTACATATACATCTGAGTGTTGCACTGAATACAGGTGCTTCTGAAAACTGGCAAGCACCACCTTTAAAAAGCATCCGCTCTTCTCTCAGACACAAGAACAATGCACACATGCACCACCAATTCAGGTGTTATTTGTGCAGTTTGATAGGTTTAGGGCAGATAGAATAAAAGTCTCCAATTCGCAGCATGCCCCATCCAGCCACGCTGGGAGTTGTACACTTTTTTCCTCTCTGAAAATGCACAGTCCTGCACCTTTACTGACCGATAACAATGCAGTCCTATGAGGCTAACTAACGATTACATTTCTTCAATCAGGTAGTGGCCCTACATTTTATGCAGCACTCCAGATTAAAGTACCTACCAAATTCATCTGGGAATGTGTGACCCTACAAAGATTGGTCACTAAATTGACTGGTCATGAGAATTCAAGGAAAGCTTTTACTCACATTAATAAAACCTGCAGTCTAAGCACTAGTGAGGACTTGTGCGAATGGTAGGCTGTTTTCTCCTGCAGCAGGGCTGAGGAGGGCCTAGAGCACGTGCCCTGCAGCTGGTGCTGAAAGGGGCACATCCAGGCCTGGCATCTCCAGCTCCCTTCCTGCATCTTGGGTTGCAAGGCTGCAAGAAAACTAGGCCTGAAATCTTGGCCCAGGCCAGAGAACTGGGTGAGACAGGGCCACAATCGAATTCCATCTCATAAATCTTGTTTCTGACTGCAAGCTAAACAAAGGAGAGTAATATCCTGCCCACTCAGAAGTCAAAGTGCAATAGAAAGCAAAGGTCAGGAAATTTGCATTGGTATCAGACTGTACATGTAGGTTTGTTCATAATGAATAGCCTTCTCTGCCCTTCACCATTCATTGGTTGAATTATAAAGTTTCTTTTTCCCATAACGTTTGATCATGGGATAGTACTTTGCTGTATTTTAACACATTTTTTATTTTTTCTGTCTTCTTTACTGTAGAAGTATTTCCAGTTTGTAGTTTTCGTGGTGACCTTTTTTATTTTGCAGTTTGTTTCTAATCATACAGTAACAAAATACTTCCTTTCATATCTTTAACAAATTAATGATCAAGAGCCATACCTTAGAAAAGTTCCCTCCGTCGGTTTAAGTAAAAAAGAACATCTTTCTTTGTGTCCATTGACAAAGGGGCTGGGAATGCTGACAGGTGCTTCTTCTAGGCTTGCATAGATCAGACTCTTCCCACAAAAAGGACAGTGCTTGGGCACACCAGAGCCAAAGATGTCTTTCCTGCAGTGGGTAATTTTGATTAAGCTTTGCTCTGAGTCCAAAGACTGCATGATTTCTGCCACCTTCTTCTGTCAGTGCAGCTGATTTCTCACCTTTTCCTCCCCAGTGAGATGGACCTGCAAAAGGGGAAGGCAGTACGTTGAGACTGGCAGCTCACAGGACCAATCATTCCTGTAATGGGAGAAGCCCTGGAAAAAAGACAGAAACAGAGAAAGGGAGGGAGAGTTTCTTAAAGAGTCAGTGCTGATTTTTAAAATTCACGTTGCCCAAGATTTCTGTCAGGATTATTCTGATAAGCAGAGATACTTGTTATGGCAAAGACAATTTGTCTGATACGAGTGTTTTGCCACTCTATGCACACAAAGGCAAAACTAAAAGTTGTGTTAAGGTGAGTGGGCAAATTGTGGCCTTCCAGATTTTCTAGCCTACAACTTCCCTCATCCTTCACCACACTGACCATACTGACTGGGATTGATGGGAGTTTTTATTTATTGTAGGCCAAAATTTCTGGAGTGCTACAAGTTACCCAGCCCTGTGTTAAATGATACTAAATGAAAGTGTCTGAAGTGTCTATAAACCATCGTCTTCTTCAAGACAATTAGCTGTATCAAAGACTTCTAATATGTTAGCTGATGTGATGGCCAATTATCACTAGTTTATTGCATCAAGGCAGGACAGAAAAGGATTGAAGCTGCTCTTATCCCATGTCAGTGACAGAAGACCAGACTTACTTTTAGATAAGTGTGCACAACACTGCCAGTCTGCTGCCGGAAAGAATCTATGTAGTTCTAATAAATATTTTACTATGCTTCAATTATATGCAAATGAGGCCATTATTTTTCTTGCAAGCTAAGTAAATCTTGTTTTACTGGTTTAAAAAAAAAGATGTGTGATGAGCCAGTGTGGTGTAGTGGTTAAGAACACAGGGCTGGAGCTCAGGCGATCCAGGTTTGTTTGTTTTAAAGTTTATATACTGCAACCAATAGCCCAATTTAGGGTTCTCTGGGCAACACTTGCCACTCTCTAGTTCCCACTTGGCCATGGAGCCAACTGGGTGACTTTGGGCCAGTCACAGACTCTCAGCCCAGCCTATCTCACAGGGCTGCTGTTGTGGAGATAAGACTGAGAGCAGGAGGAGGAGAAAGGCATTTTAAGTTCTTTAAAAGAAAAAAGACAGGATATAACTCTAATAATAGCTTAATAAATAAATGCCCATCTCAACTTAGTGGTCCCAAATCAGTTTGTGCCTCCTCACCCTTGATGGGGGCAGTTCTATGGATGAGAGAAACAGGCCCTTTAGGGTGCTGGCACAACAGCTGTGGAACTGACCGTGTCAGATGTGCCTGGCATCAGCCCTGCATAGTTTTAAATTCAAATGTTTGTTTTGACAGGTTGTTAAATTTTCTCAGAAAATGTTCTTTGCTGTTTGTAGTGATGGATACTGCTAAGTCACTTTTCAGGGACTTTTTGGGGGAAGGGGAGGAGAAGCCCTGGATCTTACATACTTTTATGATACTTTACATGGTTTGCTGTAGAGTCAGGATTCGCTTCTTTCAGTGAGAAAGGCCTTTTATTCTACTATTAAAAATGCTTGGAAAGAAGACTTGCTGACTGGACTATCTGGACTGTTCCAGTTTATGGATAGCTTTCTAATCTGAAATAGTTGCTCATCATCAATAGTGGGCCAGTTAGCAGAGACACCAACACAGGAACTGGACACTGGAATCAGATGCTAATCCTGCCTCCATATGTACTCTGGCAACAGAATAAAAGGTAAAGGTTTCCCCTTGACGTTAAGTCCAGTCATGCCTGACTCTAGGGGGCAGTGCTCAGCTCCGTTTCCTAGCCGAGGGAGCCAACGTTTGCCTGCAGACAGTCTCCGTGGTCATGTGGCCGGCATGACTAAACACTGAAGTGCACAGAATGCTGTTACCTTCCCACCAAATTGGTACCTTTTTCTCTACTTGTATTTGCATGCTTTCGAACTGTAAGGTTGGCAGGCGCTGGGGCAGAGCAACAGGAACTCACCCCACTGTGCAGATTTGAACTGGCAACCTTTCAATCAACCAGCCCAGCAGCACAGCAGTTTAAACCACTGCACCACCTGCATTCCTAGGCAACAGTATTATAGCACCTAATAACTTCACCCAGAACATCAGGAATCTATTCACCAGTTCATCTTCCTTCGTGATATTTGCCAAGGTCTCCAGCCTTTCCAGACTGGTGGACATTTTTGAGAATTTGAAAAACTGCTGTGGGTACTACTATAAAATGTTACTTGGATTGGCATCTACCTATCACATCTATGAAACTGCATCTCATTAAGCAAAAACATTTTTTCATGTTAATTGGACACTACAATTCACTTAAATAAGGAATTTTTACTTTGGCTAATTGCTGGCAATGCAATTCATCCAGCTACTTCTTTTTGGGGAGAAGATTTTTGTACAGATAAAATAAAGTACTTAAACAATCTTTAAAATTTAATATATAACTTATCGTAACCCATCCAGGAAGCCATGTGGGTAATAGGGCAGGTTAGAAATCCAATAAAAAACAAATAAATTTCACTTATGTATCAGCATTTTTATATTATTTACCTGTTTCATGGAAATTAAAAATGGAAGGGGGTAGTGAACCCCTTTGATAGCTGCAACACAATGTAAATAATAAATGAAATATATACGAAATGTAAGAACAATAATAGTGATAAAAATTAAAAGCTGATATTACAAACTTGAATAGGTTAACGGTCTCCTTCTGTAATGCAGTGGATGAAAGCCCTTACAGCACTTTTGATGTAAGAACGGGTTGCTTACATACACCGCTTGCAAACAGCTACTTTTACAATGGATATTTGACTTGCTTTTGTTGAAGTCTGTGCTGCACTTGCTAGAAATCCTTGTACTTGTAATTTAAAAACAGAAGAAAAAATAAAATCGGGTGTCCGCAGGCCTCACACTGGAGACACCGACTTTAGGATGCGATTCTATCCATATTTAGCCAGAAACCCTCTAATCTTCCAAGATGGCCCTTTCTCAGCGATCGGGACCCAAAGAGCCAGCGCCTTTTCCAGGTGCCGCTAGGCGGCGCTCCAGCCCGCTCGTGTTTGCATTCTGTACGCGCCGTCATTCTAGCCCTCTTTCTCCATGTCCTGCCCTTAGACAGACAAGCTTTCCCGGCTCCCAGCACCACCATAGAAAATAAGGTGTAAAACGTCCGCTTCCATGATCGGGTACTTCGCTAAAAACGTCCGACCGGAAACCAGTTCCTTTAGGAACGGGGCCTGCAGTTTTTCCAGGGCGCCTAAACAGCTCCTCCCTCCTCAGCGGAACCAAAATGCGAGGAGTCGCACGGGGAGGTACGCCGAAGCGGGAGTGGAGCCGGAGGAGACATGAGCAGCACTAAGGACATAACCTGCAGGTCAGAGTCCGTAGCTTGGGATGACCGCTGTCCGCACCCAGCCCCCCTTGCTTCACACTACGGATGGCGCTCCGGACCTCCGTCCCGAGGCGGGAGTGGTCTAAATGCGCCGTGCTCCCTGCCTCCTGGCCTGGTAGCTGCGGACCTCTCCTCTTCCCCCACAACTGATAAGTCCATGCAATGGGGGGATGGAAGAGGTAGCGGCCCCAGGGCTGCCGCCGCCTTTCCGCCCCCATTTGGCTGGTAACAGCCCCCACCCCCTTCCACAACCAGCCCATTGCATTCTCTCTTCTTCCTTGCCTTGTGTGGGCTTCTCCCAAAAGAGGGTTGGGAAAGCCATGGGAATCTGGCCTCCCAGAGTATTGGGCAGCCGTACCCAACCGGGTCCCTTCCAGATGTTTCGGACTTCCGTGTTCATCCGCCCCAGCCAGCCTGGCCAATGGTCAGGAATGCTGAGATGGCCTCTACATGTTTTGGACTGCATCAGTTTGGGGAAGGGTGGCAAAGGATAATCCAGCCCAGATTCTCCAAGAGAGAATTCCTCCCAGAATGATTCCTGAAATGGGCAGTGTTTCTCAGATGTGACTAGCGATGTGACTGTGTGCAACTCACCTGATGCTTAATGAAAAGAAGAAGTGAAACAGAAAGCTGGAGAGCCATCCAGGGTTATTTCCTGTCATGCTACTAGCCCTTGCCGGTTCCAAAAACCCTTATGATTTTTACAGTAATTTTACAGTTTTTAAAAAGAAAATGGGTAGTGTACTTTCAGGTGCACGTAATGTAAAATCTCTTAAATCTAACAGAAAATAGCACACCTAAAAGATTATGCTTGATCTGAGGTACAATTTACTAATGATAAACTGTTTTCAGTTACTTAATTTAGATTTCATTTTAGAATTCAGATTCTGATTTCTGTCATTCGGTGATAGTTTCCTGCTCATGAGTTTTCCTGAATGTAGCTACATTAGTTTATTGCAACAAAAACACCATGGAGTCCTGTGGCACCTTAAAGAAATGGGCTGTAGGCCATGAAAACCTTTGCCAGAATAAATTTTAAGGGTCCACAAAACACTTTGTTGGTTTTATTTTGATATGAATAAACTGATGAGGAAAAAACCTTGTTCCAGATTTTTTTTTAATTATCTGCCAAAACTGAACTAGATTGAGAGACACATCACCATCTGATATCTCTTGCTTTTTGTGACTTTAAAACAATGTCACTGCAGGTATTTTATGCAAGGAGTATGCCGTGAAGGAAGTAGATGCCTATTTTCCCATGATTTGTCTACAAGTAAACCATCTACCATCTGCAAGTACTACCAGAAAGGACAGTGTGCTTATGGAACTTGCTGCAGGTACGAACTGATAGTTTTCCGAATGATATCTTTAGATTTGTTGTTGTTGTTGCAATTCCAGTGATAGTTAAGAAGCTGTTTGTCCTCTACAGAATGAAGTAGATCTACAGATATTTTGGACTTCAGCTCAGCATTCCTGACTGTTTGCAGGGTCTTCTGAGAGGTGAAGCCCAAAACAGAGTAGTCTACCTTCTGCCAGCTCCTGCTCTAGAGGAACAGCTTGCTTCCTAGCAAAGTTTAAAATAGCTAGTTTTTTTTAACCTCAGGAAGAGCTTAAAGGGTTGTAGCTAATGCTGACCATATCCCAGCAGATGGAAACTGGTGGCAGATTGGATGTTCTTCCCCTCTTCAAGCCCCATGTGCATCCCCTCATCCCCTCATTAAGATTTGAGGAGCGTGTGGAAACTGCATTGGGAAGGAAAACAAAGGGAAATCCCGCTGCAAAGTGATAATCAGCTTGTGTGGTGTCAGTTTTGAACTATTGTTCCAGTTTCTTGATTCTAGTTGGACAGATATAGTCTACAGATAGCTTTTCTGCACTTGTTTTATGGAAATTTAGAAAATTAATAGTGTAGTCCTATTAGCCTTCTTCAATCTGGTGCCCTCCAGATATTTTGAACAGTAAGTCCTACATACCTACTGCTGTATAGTGGGTATTTACGTTGAAAGCAGCAGGAGGGCACCAGGCTTGCTGTGCTTGTTGATTCAGAAGATCCATTGAGTTCAGTAGATACAGAGCGTATAAGATTTGCAGTCTCATAGTACTTTAATATTATGCATTGGGCATACCCCATTTGTTCATCTGAAGCTACATTCCTATGCATGCAATGTAATATAATTGCATGCAGCAGGAGGTACTCGAAATATACATGCATATTGTTTAAAATCCTGTATCTCCTTACCTGAGATTAAGCCCTATTGAATCCAGAGAAGCTTGCTTAAAAATAGACATGTATAGAATTGCACTAGTAAGTATTCTCACACAGCAGTAAGTTGCTTTTGAAACTAGGAAGAGTTCTAAATATCCATCTGTATAGATAGATAATTAGAATTTGGGTCTTTATAATTAAAGGAAATGTTGAGATCCACATAACATGGGTTTTGGTTATGCTATAGAGATAGTCGAAAAGACCAGCATGGTGAAAGAAAGCCTTGTACTTCTAATCCTCAGTATCACCCTTGTAGCATTAGAATAATTCATACATGTGTTGGCTGACACTTACTGTCAAGAACCCAGCTAGGCTTAAAAGCCTGTCCTGTGAAACAAGTATTAGTGTTGCTTTCTATGAAAATATGAGCAAGTGCATAATAGCTATGTGAAGCTTTTCTTTATGTATGAGTGTGCAACCACAGTAAAATACATGTCTCTGCCTGTTATGTACAATTTTTTTCCTATTTGATCTTAAGGTATGATCACGTTAGGCTTCCTGTACCTGCTGCATCCAGCGGCATCATGGGCACTAGGACACCTTATGCCTCTGCACCACTATACCACAGCCCTAACTCTCGGCTGGAGCAAAATACACCTGTGATCAAAAGTAAAGTATATGAGCCTGGAAAACGTGAAAAGAAAACATTAGTGCTCAGGGACAGAGGTGAGGAAAATGGCTAGTTCTCCATTTTTCTACTTTTGGGAGCTTTTGGTTCTTCTGGTTCTTTATTCCTTTTCTGCTTCTTCACTCATTTACTGCTTCCTACCATGTTCTTGTACCAAGAAAGTACATGCCCATATGCAAGTAGACTCAACTCATTCCTTGTTCTGCTGACATGAATATGGAGAGCTAAAGCTAAGGACTAATGCAGACTATGTTCTCTTGTGCATCAGTAGCATCACTTGCTTCGTATTTCAATCACCTCTGGTAGTAAAGATGTGATCTGTAAGAATGAAAGGTTTCAAGCCAGGGATAGCCAAGGCCCAGATACCTGCCTCCCAGAAGCCTAAAACTAGGAAGCAGACTTAACACTTTATTATTTTTCCCCTTTTCTGAAGAATTGCTTCTTTGGAAATTTGCCTTAATGGCAATTGCTGGCATTCCCTCCTGTTCATTCAGTGATGTCATTAGAGAAACTGATTGCTTCAGTGACTTGGAGTGTTGTTTAGCAGCTTTGGCTGATTGATCAGCTGCAGCCTTCTCTAGACAGAGCGAGTTTAACAAGAGTTAAACATACATACTTTGAAAAGTTATACATTTCAAAGCCCCGGACACCTTGGAGCCAGGTTATCTGAAATGCTGTTTTCTTCCATTTATACCTACCCAGACCATGAGACCCTTAACAGAGGCCTTTCTTAGTATAGTAGCTGATAAGGAAGAGACTTTCAGTGGTAGACCTAGCTGTCGAATGCCCTCCTAGAAAGGCTTGTCTGGCACCTACTCTGTTTTCCTTTTGGTGCCAAGCAAAGACTTAAACATTTGTTTTCCCAGGCTTTTAGTGGCTTGCTGGGGCCTTTGTGAACACTGTGGTTTTTGGCTTGTTGATTTTACTGTTTTATTTCTGCTGTGTGGTTTATATTATAAATCTGTTATTTATTGTTCGTAATGACTTTTTTTTTTGAAAAATGACACCTAGAAAATGTTCATTATGGGGATGGCATAGAAATATCATTAGGGGTAAGGCTGTCAGTAGATATTAGTTATGATGGCTGTGTATGACCTCCAGTATTGGAAGCAGAATGCCCCTGTACACTGCTTGCCAGGGAGCATGAGCAGAAGAGTGTGGTTGGATGCCTGTCCTACAGGGAGCTGGTTAGCCACTGTGTGAACAGAATGCTGAACTACGCGGACCTTCATCTGATCCAGCAGTGCTCTCCTTACGTTCTTAAATACAACGCGGGAACAGGCGTCAGCACTGAGTTATGCGGTCAGAAGCTGGCTTGCATCTGAATAGGTGGAGTCTGAAAGCCATTAGCCCCGCCCCTTTGCATTCTCCATGTAAGCGGCTGCTGCTCACTCCTGCGAAGGTAGATAAAGCCCAGCCCCCAGGGAGGCTGTTGTGGTAAAGGCAGATTCTGTGCTGTCTTTGCCTCCAGACCTCTGGAAGTGTGCAAGCTCTCCTTTCATGTCTGCTGTACCTATCATCATGACTGGTATTTCGTCAGTATGCCGTAATCTCTCTCGCACAGTTTTAAATTGAGATGCATGTTTTGTTGGTGCATTAGTTTTGTACAACGCCTGCCCCGTTCTTTCTAATATAATGTGTGACCGGGGAAGATAAAATTCTCCGTCTTTGATGAGAAATGTAGATTTCCTATGTCAGATAGAAGCTAGTCAGCTTTTATTATAGTTCAGCTTCAGAAATACTAGCTAGAGTTTTGGTACATTCTTAATGGGCAAGACCACAGGTGGCTAACAGAACCTCTTCCATGGTTTTAATGGTCTCCTGCTTTTGAATGTGATCAAGCATTTCCTTTCTCCTCTCCCAAGATTTATGTGGATCAAATGAGGATAGGACAAGATCTAGCACTGTGAGTGACCCTCCACGCTGTGGCATTCAGAATGATACTCCAGAAACAAAGCCTCACTCGTACCTGGATGCCATCCGCAGTGGGCTTGAAGAAGATGTTACTGAACCAGGAAGCTCATATTCCGATGGTGAACAGCTGTGTCCTTATGCTGCTGCTGGCATATGCCAGTTTGGTGACCAGTGTCTTTACCTCCACGGGCAAGTGTGTGAAATCTGTGGGTTGCAAGTACTTCATCCCTTTGACCCAGAACAGAGAAAAATGCATGAGAAGGTAAACATGAGCTAAGATAAAATCAATTTCATTGAGGGTCTGTATGGCTTTTTATTGCCTTAGCGATCTTGGTCTTCAGGGTGCCTCTTTGAGTCCTACCAGGAATCTATTATGGATTCCTGGTACGAAAATGGACTATAGGGGGTTTCAGGATTGTGCTGCCACTCCTCCTTCGTGTCTTGTTAAACAGTTTTGGAAGCTGTAATGATGAAAGAGACCATTCACCATGATGTTGAACTAGATCTCCATTAGCATTACCAGAATGTGAACCAAAGGAAAGCTGGCAATACTTCAGTCTCATGAGGCTAGCCTTGCAACTCTGTCGAGCTGAGGCTAAATTAGCACACACAACCAATTAGGACAAACAGGCAAACATCTGTGTGCAAGTCTCAGACATGGAGCCTGAGAAGATTGCAAAATAAAAGCAACATCAAAGACTCAAATCCCTCCTATGTCTTCATATGCAGTTTATTTCTTTAGGTAGTTTTGAAGATTTAGAAGTCCAGGCTAATCGGAATACAAATCATTGGGGTACGTGTATTCTGCATGCAGCTGGATGCCTGTTTGGCTTGCTGTAGATTGTACTTACAGTTTTAAAATGAATTATCATGCAGTTTATATGAACAGTATAACCAGTTTGAGAATCCATAATATTTAATATGTAGTGGGCTTGGGTCCAGGTCCTGCCTTTTGCAAGTGGGAGGACCCTTCTGTGAGAGGAAGGACTCTGCTCATGGAAGGTCTCCCCACACCACAGTTCATTCCATTTACATGACTCCCTGCTTCTCTGAAGCATGAGGAGGGAAGGAGCTGCTGTGGGAAGGAGGGGGCGGAGTAGCAGCTGAAGTAACTTGGACTAGGATCCAACTTAACTGTGTGTTTATATACATATAATATATGATGCATAATACCTGCACATTCCTGTGCTGCTCTATTTTTTCCATTTTTGTAAATGGGTACAAGTCTCCATCCTTCGTGTATCCATTCCATACTGTTTGTCCTGACCTTTCCTGTATGGTGGTTCTCCAAGAAAAGCCTTCTACAACCTGTTGATGTGTAGAAGCTCAGGGCTTCAGCTCCCATCAGCCAGTATGGCCAGTGGTCAGGAATGCTGGGACAGCACCCACTCAAAAAAGACTGACCTGAATCAGGTTATGTCTAAGGGCAGGCTTTGTATTAACCCAGGGCTCAAGGTTGGTGAGGGGGGTATTACCCCATTTCTTTTCAGATGTATATAATTGAGACTGGTCAAAACATTCCACTTCCTCCCCCCCCCCCCCCCCCGCTTTGTAATCAGCCTGATTCTTTTTCCCTTGCACTTTGGCTCCTGTATAAACTAATATCAAATCAAATGCTCAATTTGTGCTTAGGTAGCTATATGTATGTCAGACCTATTTAACTTTTGAGCATGTGTGCCAAGTTTAGCCACTGGTTGCCTGCTCTGATCACCAGGTACTTGACAGTGCGCATGTGCACACATACCCACACACCCTTCATTTTTGCAGCCCTGGACAAGCAGCCTGACCAGGGCATTTACAGAGTTGCAGTGGAGATTCAGTTTGGAAGTTAACAAATCATGTAGGCCTGAGTTGTTGTCTCCTCATGCTATTCACTTTCAAGTTTAACAGTCCAGATCTACATAGGTACATACAGCTGGAAATAATTGCAGCATTGTCAAGCATATGAGTACCTTGGATATCTAAGGTATTTGTGGTAATGAGTTTAATTTAGTATTTATATTCCACATTTTTGTAAAAGCAATCAAAGTGGCTACTCTTTTTTTTTTTTTGGTCAAGTTGTCTTCCATATTGTGAAGAGTCTTTTGATGTTCTTAGTAAAAAGGTTTTGCTGTGATCAATATAATCTTTTTTATATAAAATTGTAGTACTGGATCTAAATGTCAATTTAATCTAGTATTCAAGGTCACACCTACTTCTCACCTATGGCTTCTGTATTTTTGTCATTTAGGTAGCAATTCTGCATGGATTTACCTGGAAGCCCTGAACTTAATAGGAGTAAGCATGTTTAGGCTTCCACTTATAGGGGAACCATGACATATTTTTACAGCAGGGGAGGAGGCTCAGAGGCCAAATTTAGCCTTCTTCCCAAGGCCTTAGGTCCTTTCCTCCAGCTACAAAGCATTTAGAGCATGGGTCCACAAACTATGGCCCAGGGGCCAGATCCGGCCCACCATGCCCATTTATCTAGCCTGCCATAGAGGTTTTGGACTCGCCGCCTGCGCGCAGCAAGACAGACTTGCTCGCAAGCAGATCATTTTAGACTTGCCTGGAGAATACGATCTCCTTGCGAGCAAGCCGGTGCCTTGCCGCACGCACGCGCCCCCCCACACCCCAACCCGCGCCCCCCACTTGCACTGCCTTGGCGGCCTGCGCCCATCGCTGGCACCTTTCAACTGCTCCCCTGTTAAAAAAGTTTGTTGAGGACCCCTGATTTAGAGGTTCCTTGGCATTTGCAGGTTTTTTTCATTTCCAAAGACTGAAATAGCTCTCTTGTGTTACTGACAGTCCAATACTGCCAGGAAGAACTTTATGCTAAAATATTACAGGCATTTTAGGCCCTACCACTTTTGATTTTAGTGTCAACTATCCCTGGAAAGAGGCACCGAGCGCTTCTCTGAAATGGGGCTTGGCCTGCAGACTGCAAGAGACTCTCTCTCCCAGCCCTGCTACAACAGGCCCTTTCACCAGGGCAATCTAAGATAAAACGTTGGCTTTTCTTTGTTTCTAGATGTGCATGGCAACATTTGAACAGGAGATGGAGAAGGCTTTTGCCTTTCAGGCAAGTCAAGACAAGGTGTGCAGTATCTGCATGGAAGTAGTGTATGACAAACCGTCAGCATCTGAAAGAAGATTTGGCATTCTTTCTAACTGCAATCACACATACTGCTTGTCCTGTATCCGGCAGTGGAGGGGCGTCAAGCAATTTGAGAATCCCATCATAAAGTACGTTGCGACGGCATGCACTTTTATAACGTAGTTGGTTATACTTCTCTGCTCTGCTCTTTAGAGCAGAGTGTAATGTATTTGATGAGGGAAATCTTTTTGTTTATGGCTTTGTGTGCGCCATTTTATTGGAAGGTGTTTTAGAAACATTTATAAACAAACAGAGAAAGCTTCTAACATATACAACCTTATAGAATAAAAGCTGCTCATTTTTAAACATCTTTTAGTTACTTTTAAGAGCAAGGCCCTTACAAAGAAGCACGCAAACCAGAGCAAAGCAAGAAACACATGATTAGCCTGCAGGATACATAGGCTGCTGTAAATGGTTAATCATGACCTCAGTGAAAGGCAGCATTGGCAAAAAAGGACTTGAATGGGCACTTAAGAGCTGTATGGAAGAGTCAAGGTGCAAATCAATAGGAAAGGTGTTGCATAGTTTGGGGGCCACATCCAAGCAGGTTCTACGTTTTATATGTGCCAGGCCGGGCAGTTTTAATAGAGGATATGTGAGAAGAACCCTTATGTCTGGTTTGTGTTTTTGTCAATGTGAGGCTGAGCATATGAAGTCTTTTAAATTAACAGTAATTATTCAGGAGTTAAGCTTCCTTGGATAAGACTGAATCTCCTAGCTAACATTTATGATGTCTTGATAATATTCCCAACTGCATTTTCTTGCAAAGCTTAATCAGATTTTACTTCCTTTATGAGCCTTGTCCAACTTGGGACCCTCCAGATATATTGGATTGCAATTCCCATGATTCCTAGACATCTCACTAAGCAATTTTGGGCAATAAATGTAAAAAGTCCAGGACCTGATTAAACCCCCATCATGTGCTGCCAAAAACTTGAGAGAACAGGAAGGTCTTAACCTGGTGCCCCATAGATAACCTTGTAAGCAGCACCAAGCCAGCCTCACTGGGAAGATTGTTCTATAATAGGAAGGCCACCTCCAAGAAGCCCCTCTTCCTTGTTGCCACTTTCTGAGCCTCTCTGGACTTTGGTATCCTTAACACAAGCGGCCGCAAGTGCACAAGCAACCAATGGGGGTGGGGGAATGAAATGATCAAAAAGAGGCTTTCCTGAATACGCACCCCTGCTCTGGAGGTTGGTCTGGGGATGTGGAGGAGAGACAAGAGGAGGAGGAACATGAAGCTACCATCTGTCCTTTCTAGACACAAGCATTGGGCATTGCTGTGGTGAAGTCTGATGCAAGAATAACCCTTCTGCTTTGAGCCTCAATATTTATATTACATGTATTTTGGATGTCATCTGAAGTACATTGTGGGTCTAAGAAGCTCCTCAGAACGCTAGAAATTACTTAGTTAAGGAAAAGAGCCACTTAACTATCTGTTACTTATGATTAGGAAGCGTATGTTTGGTAGCACGACATGCAGATTTCTTCCTGCTTCTGTGGTTCTAAATCTGGGCTTTTTCAGATTGGGAGGGTGCAAAATTGGTCAAGCAGTTTCAAAAAACGTTAATGCATATCAACTTTAGGGCGAAAGGGCTGAATAAAATAGTATGGTAGGAATGGTTTAGGCCATGCTGGAGCTTGACAGTCTTGAGAGCACTGCATTTGGAGTGCCTTTCTTGCTCTTCGGAATTGCTTTGACCTGCTCTTGAGTTGTGTGAACCCAGCAGCTTCTCAGCAAGTCACATTTACACTTTGCATTTTCCATTCAAGGTCTTGTCCAGAATGCCGTGTGATCTCAGAGTTTGTAATTCCCAGTGCATATTGGGTGGAAGACCAGACCAAAAAGAATGAACTGATTGAAGCGTTTAAGCAGGGCGTGGGGTAAGTATGAAGTTAATAATTTTAAACCAGAGATACTTGGTAAGGAAAGAGAGAATTCAAGGAAAGCCAAGTCTCTTCCAATGCTTTAATCTAAATTAATATGCATTGTGTTGTGTTATATTTAGTCAGTCAAAGAGGTTTTTCTGAGTAAATTTGCTCTAAGCTCATTAACATAACAGATGTAAGCATCGTTGAAACAAAATACTTCTTTCAGCTCAGCTGCAGGATGAGTTGATTAAGAGTTTGAGGGCATGCTATCTTCATGGGCTTCTAGTGGCTGAAGCACAACTAGCTGTTGTTTCCAGTATAATAGCAAACTATAGTTTGGCTGATCAAGCCTTGGGCTCATGTGCACCCTCTGCCCCCATCCCCGTCTGTACTTTGCTTTTCCTCCAGTTCCTGTTTGCAAGCAAAACTGACCTGCCATTGGATCTGCTGAGCAAATGGTTGTTTGCAGATAGCGCAAGCCCATGGGCAAATCTATCTCTCTATCTATCTATCTATCTATCTATTTATTTATTTAAAACATTTTTATGCTGCCCCCATCGCAATGAAGCCTTGGGGCGACTCGCAACAGAAACAAATTCATAAATACATAAATAATAACAATATAACAATAAAAATTATTTTAAAAACCCTGGTGCATCTCTGCTAAAAATTTAAAATGCTATAAATACAAATAATTTAACCATTAAAATAAGTTTTAAATAAAAAGGTCTTAGCCTAGCGCCGAAAAATAAATAACGACGGCGCCAGGCAGACCTTTCTGGGGAGGTCTAAATTGATCCTGTGCGTGGGATGCCATGTGCGCCGTTCTTCGTGCTTTCTCTGTTCTGATTACCAGTGGTGACCAGGTCTGTATTTCCCCACACTCCAGCTTCAGGTTTTTGTCTTATGAGCCTTCCTTTGCGGGTCGTGGACATCTCACTCTTGCTCCGTTCAGCCTCAAAACAGAAGTGAGCTGGAAGAGTCAGCTTCTGTCTATCTCTTGTTCTCTTTTTGCTCTGTTTGAGGAGGGTGGTATTCTGTGAAGCACTTTGCAAATTCATAAGGGTTAGGGTTATGGAGGCATAAGCTTTCCACTGGGCTCCCCTCACATCTCGGATAGTTTGGTGGTGTTTCTGCTACTGTGCCCTTTTGGAGAAAGCAACCTCATTACATTTTTCTTAATACATGTTTAGGTTGCTTGCAACAGTCATCCTGAGATTAACTAGGTGCAAGATCTGGAAATACTTGCTGTTCACCATTTGTGTGTTGAGGGTGCCATTTGGTTTTACAGAGTCAGGCCATGAATCATTCCAAGAATCAGTGTCCTTTACAACTGTGATCCAAACCTTCATTTTGATCCCTAACCCTTCAGTTAAAGAGGTTTATGGCCATTTGAAACAGTTTATACTTGTCAGTCCTTTGCTTGGATAACATTTGTAATGCAATGTTTAAGTTACGGTGCACTGTAGACCAGAAAGAGCAAATCTAGAATGGGAGTGTGAGGTGGTCTAGTTAGGGTTTAGTACTTTAACCAAACTGCCCCTTAGACACTTTCAAGCCTCCTTTTCTTTCTTGGGTACTGGCAGTTGTGAGTGCACAATCTTTTAATGTTTTAACAGTGTCCAAGAGTTCTTCATTTTATGCAAGCTAGTGGTGAATTGTACATGTATCATCAACTAGCATTTGATTAAATGCCTGTTGGATTTAACAAAAAGGCAGCTGTGTAATTCTGTGACCTTCATGGCTGGTCTCTCCAATGCTGAATGTCTTTCTGGGAAGGCTAAGCTTTGGTTGTTTACCTTACGTTGCTCTGTGTTTATGCTTATCAGTCATATCAGGGGCTGTTCTATTAATACAGCTAAAGTTGAAATCTGCAGCTGCTGATCAGAGCAAGCAGCTCAGTTCCTGGTGCTGTACTCTCTGTCTAAGGGCTACTGAGTTTATATTCCAGTAGAGAATCAGCGTGTGTAATACTACAAAGTAGAGAAAAGTATTGGAAAGGAACAGAAAACATTTGGCATTAATCCTTCAAATGTATAAATGTCTGTTCTGCAGATATTTTGTGGGGCAAATCTGTTGAGTTTCTGTCTGGTAAGGCAATTGCTGAAGAAAACTAATATGCATAAAGCAAAGTTTACATGCAAGTTGATTTCGTCCACTTTAGAACTTTCCCCCGCCATTCAGTCATTCAGTTTCTAATCTGACCAATAACTGATACTCTCTGGGTGGATATGGTGTAAAGTGAAATGTTTAGCATCTTTGGTTCCCACTACTGCAGTAAATGGGATTTTTTGTGTGTGAAAGACTGAATTTCTTGAAACATATGGCCTGCAAATATAAATTATATTTTTAACAACCAACGTTTTTCAGTTAGAAAGTGTAAGTTGCCAAGAGACCCTATGGCTAGTAGGGCAGCCTGTAAATTGAATAAATAAACAAACTCTGTTGGGCAGAAAAGTTAGTTTGAAATCTTATCCAAGGAGGGAGGAAAGGTAAGTCATGTGTCTGTCAGTCTTAATATCTTCCCTTGTGCTTTGTAGTAATTCTTTTTTAAATCGTCCCCAAAAGTATGTCTCTGCTACTTTTTCTTTGTGTGCTAATTGTGTTTAGTTTTTCGTTGCGTGCATATATTTAGTGATGTTCACTAGCTTGAGCTTGTGGCAATGAAGTGGAATGTAACACTCAGTATAAATGCAAATAATGTGTATTCTCTTTCATGTCCCAGGAGAAAGGCCTGCAAGTATTTCGAGCAGGGTAAGGGGACCTGTCCCTTTGGGGGGAAGTGTTTGTACCTTCATGCCTATCCAGATGGGAGACGGGCTGAACCAGAAAAACCAAGAAAACAGCTTAGCTCTGAGGGCACCGTCCGGGTAAGAAGATTTTTGGCCATGTGTTATCTTAAATAAATCACAGTGTTAGCAGTGATCTGGCACATGTTTTCCACTGAAAGGCAGGACTCTTAAGCATCCATTAAAGGCTTCCAAACATCAGCTTTAACATGACTGAATAGTCTGGGGGGACAAGGTGCTCTTTGGCTAGCTTCCCATTCCATGAAAATGTGATTGCTTTGTCTCCATAGTGAATGCTAAATGTTGTTTTGACAATCTAGTTCTTTTAATTTCACAGTCAGTTTTACTTGGCATTTAGAACACCCATGCATGAAGATACATGCACCTTTTTGCTTACAGTGTGTGGTGTTAATAGCCTTGAAAATGACATATTTATTTGCTTACATCATGGATATAGTTTTTTTTTCCGGAGAAGGCATCTACTTTTAATAGTACTTTAGCTGTCACCAGGGTGAGGAACATGCAGACTAATGAGGGCCACAATTGCCATCAGCCCTAGCCAGCACAGTCAGTAGTGAGGGATAATGGAAGCTGCAGTATCCCCATGCCTGCCTTACACCTTTGCCTATAATCTTACGACTTGCTGGATGAGTGCAGTTCTCTAGCCAGGATTGCGGCTGCTGTGCCATTTGCTAACACCACAAATATGTGGCAAGTTGTTGGATCACTTGGTATTAGATTTTTTGCAACTGCACTTTTGCTTTGTGGTTTCAGCTGCACTTGCTGAATATTGAGGGTGAGGGACTGCACTTGACATTCACTTGCGGGTGCCACCTGGAGCATCTTGTTTGTGTAGATGCACTAGCACATTGCTGGGTTCCTACATTAGCACAGTTCCATTCCTTGTGGCACTGCAGCGGTGCAGAAGCCTTTGCACTACATCCAGTCTGCTCTTTCCATGTGCACTCCTGATCAAATTTGTGTGCAAATTGGAATGCAACAGCTACCTGTCTCACAGGATTACCATGAGTAGAATTAGCACTGTGTAAATACTCTCGCTGGGGCTTGCTTCTTCACAAAGCAGAGACATTTCTGGACTTCCTGCATGTCTGACGTAGTGACTTGGGGCTGGGCTTATGATTACTACTGGGGCTTATATGAACTGAGTGGTGACACAGTTGATGTCAACATTTTTGGAAGTTCCCACATCCAGCTGATGGCTTAAAGCCAGGCTCTTGCTCTAGGGCTTTAGACGGAAGAAAAAGGGATCTGACTCGTGTGAGTCAAGACATGTGTGCTGTTGCACAAGCACCACAGCTCAGGACAGTGCAAATCTCCTGTGCAAGGCCTTGTCTCAGGGCAGCAGGGGACAGTCCTGACCAATTGATATCAGCAGGCCCTGAAAACTGGACAGGCACCTGCTCCCATATTTAGGATGTAAGTTGGTTCTCTACAAAACAGCCACATCCCATCCCACTGATCATGCTGCATTTCCAAGCCCGCATTGGTGCAATGTCCATTGGTAAGAAAAGGCCCTTAGCTCTTGGTATATACGAGGTCCCAAGTTCAGGCTCTGGCAGCTCCAGCTCCAGCTAGGATGTAATGTGCGCAATCTGTATTTGAAACCAGCTGCCAGTCAGGGTGTGGGACAGCAGGTTAGAAGAGCAGATGGTCAGAGCTGTGAGAAAGCGGCTTCCTTTGTTCTTAGCAGCACTTCACAGGCATTCATGGAATCGTGAACAAACAGGTACCCTTGTGGTCTCTGCGGAGCGGAGCTGCTAAGCAAGGGGAACAGAGCCCGGCGGTTCCAGCACAACAACAGAACCTCGCCCTGCACACCTCTCTGTCGGCACACTCTCTGTAGTGTGAGCACCTGCAGTACTTAAGACAGGGATGGGGGAACTCGAGGCCCTTTCCTTACACAATTTGAATCCCCACTGCAGTGCTCTGGAAAGACAGGATTAATGGTTCCAACCTCGTCCACCAGGGAGGATTGAAACTGGATCCGTCTTGACATCTTTGTTAACCATAGCCAATTAGATTAGGCCAGAGGGCCTCCTGTTTGGTGGGTAGGTTAAGATTCCATGCCTGGCATACCACGACAGGGATAAAAAGTAAGCCCTGCAGCCGTCAAGTGATCTGTGTTACTCTGCTGAGGGTGGGGGAGCTGAGAAAAGTCTCTGTGTGACGTACAGCTGAGCGAGAGAAGGAAATGGCCCAGTGCCCCTGCTGGCATGGAGCGTCCAGCATACTTCAAGAGTCAGGGAAGGCCCTGGGGCGAAGGAGGCTCCCCGCCCTTGAGAAGACGTAAGAGCTATTAGTAAGAGTGACTTGTGCCTTTTCTTCTAGTTCCTCAACTCTGTACGCCTCTGGGACTTCATCGAAGACCGAGAAAACAGGACATTACCAGTGGCAGACAATGATGTAACAGAGATTGGAGAGCTTTTTATGCATCTTTCTGGAGCGGATGCTGAATCTGCTGCTCCACCCTAGAGTTCCACAAGGTCTCCGCCATGTTCTCTTGTGTCAGCCCTTCTGTTTCTTAATTAACTTTATACTACTTACCACAATATTAGAATTACTGTGCCATGGAGAGTGAGGTCCTGGTGAGATTCTAGTACAAGTGTGCCACTGTGAAGCAAAACTGCTGCAGCGTAAGCAAAGGAATGCTCAGAATAAACATGGTAGTTGTCATCCCAAAGAGAGAAACCTCTTTTTCTAAAGCACGACAGCAAAAAAGCTCCCTAACTGAACTGACAGCTCGCTTCCTGGTTTTATCAAAAAGCCTGCTGCTGTGTGCAGGTAAACCAAGTAGAGACCGATTGTAGTGTTTAAGCATCATTGTAACACATTAATAAAGGCAGGGAGAACAAATACCTACTAGAGAATATTACGTGTACTGCAGTGTAGCTTTGTTATTAAAGTCATTTCTTGTTAAAATATTTTAAGCAAGAATTGCCTAGGTCTTGCTGAGTGCAATATGGATACTTACAGTGCAATCCTATGCATGTCTATTCAGAAGTAGACACTGGGTTCAAGGGGGGGGGGCTTGCTTCCAGATGTGTGTGCATAGGACTGCAGCCCTCGGGCTCAATCCAGCATGGATGCCTGTAGCCCCCCAACCTCAGAGGAGCACAACTCTCCTGTCAAGGGCAGAAGGCACACAGAGGCAAAGATTTCAGTCGTCCAAGTGTCTTGCGCCCGTTTGCAAGAACAGGCTAAGGGGCCACAAAGATACATCCCTCAGCAGCAGAATCTCTTTCCACACCCCACACCCCACCCCACCGCAGAATTGCAGCTCTGGCCTCCGAGTGCATTTTCAGGCTTGGAGCTGGAAGTCAGGCGTTCCCTGTGGCCCTCTAGACAGCATCTGCAGCCATAACTAATTGCAGCAGGAGCCATGTGCTCTAGTAGTCCTACTGATTATGCCCCCCTCTCACTTGGTTGGTATACATTTTGTCTTTTCTACAAACCTAAATGTAGTTCAGAAAATTCCAGGGATACTAGTCCAGTCAGAAGAAATAGTATTTGCATAACCTCTCCAGCCAACAACTTACATTTATTTGGTACATGGGTAGAGAATCCTTACACCATTCAGTTCTTCCTCTGCCTCCTCTGTTACTCTGTGAAGGGCATTCTGAACATGGCTTTCTGCCTTGGTTAAGGTATTGTATCAAATAGTGAAGCAGGTTATATGTTAAACCCATATATGTAAACACTGTGTTTTTCTATATTATTAGTATTATGTCTCATCCTTTAATAAAAGTGTGACTGAGCCCCATGCCATATAACTTTAAAATGTAACCACCAAGAGTTTGAAAGCTGCCCAGAAATCCAATGAAATGGGTTTTAAGACAGGGTTCCCCATGAGCCTATTTAGGAATAGGAGATTGTGGATTGCCGCCTTGCTGTCTGCCTAGCACATCTGTGGATCTTACCCCCCAAAAATTTGTTTTGTGTCTGTTGGACACTGCAACTTCTCTTTAATAAAGGTTTGTCCAGCCCCAAGTGAAATACAGCTACTGCTTTCTTTAAACATATATTTTCACCATGTCTGCTAGTTGTTTCTTTTGGGGGAATAGGTTGTTACACAAATTTTGTATGGGAACAGTCTTTACTAGTCATGGATATACATGTTCTACTTCATGGAAACGAATGCATGGTCCCCATAAATGGATTCTCTGTGTGTCTTTGCCAGCTAATACTCTGATACTATGAAAGAGGAAGGATGAACCACTCACCTACTATAATGCAATGGACTGCGGACCATACAACACTTCTGATATATGAATGGGTGGCATACAGAAACCACTTGCAGATGGATACTTGTTTGGATATTTGTTCTACTTTTCTGGAAATATTAGACAGTTGCATACATTGCATACAAATACATGTACTTACACTAAAAAGCAGCAGAAAAAAATTGTCCAGGTGCTGTTAGGGACACCTGCCAGAGTATAAATGCTAAGGACCCTCAGCAACCCACTTCCTGTCTACTAATACTTCAGTTTTACTGCCAAGTAGTTCAGTACTGCTCCCTGAAGGTAATGATCCCATGTTCCTAGAAATTGGAAGGGGCATAGGAGGTTTGGATTTCCAGCCCTGAGGCGGGAGAAGCACTCTGATCTTGTAGTTAAGAATGAAAGGTCCAGTCCTTTCCCCCCTCCCCCTCACAACTGGCATAGACAGAACCGTATCAGCTGTTCTCCATGGCTATGAAAGTAACCTCAGAGGGACTAAAGGATGGGGAGGGGAGTAGACTACAACTTCCAGGATCCAAGTTATCCTGAAGCTACTCCAACCTCCATCTCTGAGACACTGTTGCTCAATAGCCAATAACAGCTGCTTAGTTGAAATATGAAGCAAGAGGAATGAAGAGGTGAAAATTGCCTCTGCTGCTCATCCCACTCTGCAATGCATGCCCATAAACTTATGAGTTCAGACAGCCCTGAACATTTAGGCCAGTGCTCTAAATGATTGTCTCAATTTAAAATTTCCAGATGCCAGCTGGATTACCATTTGGATTTCTTTCAGACAACTGGAGCATCATTATTTGAATTAGCAGGGAGTGGATGTTAAAGGAGACACAAAAATCTGCCCAAGGCCACCCAAAAATATACGACTATGCAAGGAATCCCAGTATCTACACCTAACAGGACTAATTTGCCTCATTGTTCTGGAAAAACGTCTTCCTATAGTGCAGTACTACTTGATGCCAATCTCTTCAAAAGTAGCAATAGTTTTAATGGAAAAATACCAGCAAACACAAAAGTGATTCCATAATCAATGTAAAAATTCCCTTCTTTCCATCTACGACTGCATTGCAAGATTTGGTGCATTTGTACAATGAATTACCTTTCCACTTGCATTTAAGTAGAGCATGGATTTACATTTCATATCAAATTTCTAACATTGGAAACTCTACACCGCTTTATGTGTGTTCTTTCTGACTGACATGTCTACAACTTGTGCTAGAAAGGAGAAACTAAAATCTTAAGCAGGCAGTAATTTTAGCTTGGACTGCAGCCAGCAGGGTTTCATGGAAGATGAAACAGGCCTCTCCTAATCTGTTCCAGCTACAAGTTCTTAGGTTACACCTTCAGTTTCCAGAATCTGAGCAAGTGCTGGTGTGACTAAAGGCCCATGTACCCACAAGTTTTGGGGCTGAAAAGCATTTCATTTTCAGTTTTGGCTTCTTCCATTATAGTCAAATAATAGCAACTCAATACATTACTACCAAGCATAAATAACAGCAGTTCTTACAAACACTTTCTCCTGCCTACCACTAAAGGAAATGTCTAGCTCTGATGCACCATCTTAGCCATATTCTTGCATCAAAAAAACTTTCAAAAAAGCAACAGAAGCGTTGAACAGAACCTACATTATTGGATACTGTGTTCACTTTTAACTCCCATCTCTACCCAGCAATACCCCCTCTGCAAGTTAGAGCCAGGCTGAATCTCAGTACCCTCTAGCTGTCTTCCCCTGTGGCTGTACTGAGCATTTATATTTTAAGGCAGATGTGTGGAACATGTGGCCCACCAGATGATGCTGGACTGGGGCAACTCTAAACACCCTTAACCATTGGCTACACTGATTAGATTGATGCAAACTGCAGTCCAACATCAGGAAAAAAAACATGTTTCCCATTTGAAAGATACAGATAAGTTTGCATCATCTAAAGATGTGTTCAGTGGTTCAACAGCTATATCTGGCATTCATTATTGTGCTCACATTACACAACAGGCTCAACCTTAATGGGACTTCAGCCCAAGCAAAGTGATTGGAATGTGGTACATTCTTCCCAAACTGCAAAACAACTGAATTCATGCGGAGATCTCAATTGTTGAGCTTCCGCAAGTACACCAAAGTACAGCAATATCTGTTTTCAGGTGCTGGTCACCTTAGAAGTCCACACTAGATATACTTTCTGATGTTACATTGATAGCATGCTGGAAAACATTAGCCTCACAGCTGTATAATTACACATTCTTTACAAGGACAAGAACAATAGCAGCAGAGGCCAATTGTCTCATCCCATGAACCACACCTAACTGCATAACAGTCTCCCCCAACCTAATGCCTTCCAAACATGTTAGATCACAACCCTTGTCTCCCCAGCCAACAAAGCCAATAATGGGAGTTGCAGTTGGGTCTATGTGGTGGGTACCAGGTTGGTGAAGGCCACTGCATAGGTTCAGACCACAAGGCACTTTCTTTCCACAACTCTTGCTCCTCCAAATAAAGAATTCATGGGACTAGGCCTTTCAAGCAGAAATGTGTAAGCCGAAATATGAAGAGATGAATACAATTCACCCAGTACTTGGCCACAGCCTTAAGTCCTTTGAGTTATAATCATCAGGTGGCAGTGCCAAGCATCCGAAGCACTGTCCAGCACAATGGTTCCACCAAATTTGTTGTAAAAGCCGGTATGAGCATGCACTGGAAAACAGTATGAAATAAGAAAGGTATAGAAGGAACTAGGGAATGCTTTTCAGGCGTGGGATATCATTTCAGCAGCAGGCAAGCTACACAATTGTACTGCTTGGTATGTAGAATAAATGACAGATGCTTACAGTATGGAAGGCAACTGGGTGAGTTTGGGTGAAAAATGCAAACTGGAACTACAAATTGGAAGTCAGTCTTCCCACTGAGACATACCTGTGGAACTGTTTCTGAAGGGGTACAATCCAACCAAAGCAGGATGAAGCATTGCCATACTGTGCCTCCCTAAGCCTGACCAAGTCTTTCTACTTAATAAACTCTAAAAGCTTTTACTATAAAACCCATCTGACAAGATTAGTTGCACCATCTGTCCATTGTATCTGTATATGATAATAAGGGAAACACTACGCAAATTAGCACCTACTTTCATCTAGATAGATAGCACAAGGAAAGAGACTGATTCCATATGACAGCTTTTCCCAACCAGGTGCTCTCTAGGTATTTTGGACTACAGCTCCCAACATAGAAACAGAGTGAGTCAGAAGGGACCTCCCGGGCCATCTAGTCTGACCTCCAGCACCAGCCAGCTCTGCTCACAACATGTCCACCATGTCCATGCCCAGCCTATCTTTGAACACCCTCACCAATGGGGCCTCAATGACCTCTCGTGGAAGCCCATTCCACACCCTCAGGGTCCTAACTGTCAGGAAGTGCTTCCTGGCACCTAAAGAGACCTTGGTTCCCTGAGCTTTGCTCCGTTGGAGTGCATCCTGCCTTCCTCTGCAGGGGAGAACTGGTCTCTACCCACCTGTGTGTGACATCCCCTCACATACCTGTATGTCACCAACAGATCCCTTCTGAGTCTCCTCCAGGCTGAAGAGACCCAGTTCCCTCAGTCTCGCCTCATATGGCATCCCCTGCAAACCAGCCACCAACTTTGTGGCCCTACGCTGCACTGACTCCAACATGGCTATATCCTTTCTGCAATGAGGGGCCCAAAACTGAGCACAGTACTCCAGTTGTGGGCGTACCAGAGTCATACAAAGTGGTAGTAATACCTCTCTCAGTCTAGAAGCCACACTTCTGGCTATGCAACCAAGGGTGGCGTTCGCCCTCTTGACCACCGCATCACACTGCTGACTCATGTTTAGCCTGCAGTCAACCAGTACCCCGAGGTTCCTTTCACAAGTGCTGCTCTCCAGCCACTTGTCACCTAACCTGTACTTATGACACCTATTCCTATGCGCCAAGTGCAAGACCTTACACTTATCCACATTGAACGCCATCCTGTTGTCTCCTGCCCGCTTCCATAGTCTGTCCAGATCCTTCTGGATCTGGAGTACCTGCTCCTCAGTGTGGCCACTGCTCCAGTTTTAGTATCATCGGCGAATTTGATCAGCAGACTGTTCATCCCTTCTTCCATGTCATTTATGAAAAGATTAAACAGGATCGGCCCCAGGACAGAGCCCTGACCATTGGGTATTCTGACCACATTCCTGACCATTGGGTATTCTGACCACTGCTGCTGCCACCAAGAGCGTAAATGTACAAAAATATATCTCAATCCATCCAGTGTTAGCAACTATGAAATAAATAGGATCTATCTGGATTACAGTCATAGTCCCTGAGTAACTGCACATTTTTAACCCATCACAAGTCCAGAAAAATGCAAGCCTCTTACAAAGCAGTACACTCCTGAAGATAACCTCCCTCAATCTTATGCACATCTCCTCAGAAGTCAACTCCATTGCATTCAGGGATGTCATGCGTATAATTGTAGCACTATTGAACTAGTAAATGTTACTGAATTTTTTAAATCAAAAAACAACCAACCAACCCTATAGGATAGACACAAAGCAATTCACATGAAAAACAGTGATTTCCAAATAGTTTTTAAAGTCTTGAATTGGTTTCAAGTTTTTAGAAATACAAGTAGCTGATAGTTATACGAAGGGCACGTGTGGATATTTAGACTGATCATTATCAGCACTTCCAGCTGATACTATCTGCATTTTGAAAAACCTTCATATCAAATGTAAATATGGTCCTCACCTGGTTGCAGTAACTTTCATCCCAGGCCTACAGACCAGAGGCAAAGGATGAATTTACATGATTGCTGCTTCTTCTATTGGCTTTACATTACCTTGTGGCAAGACCTCTCAAAGTAGTTTATCAAGTTCCAGTTCTCAATCACCTCAAGTTTGACAAGCTGAAAAATGTAGTTATGCTGGATGCATAACAACATGAGTGCTAATTTAGTTGAACTAAATGCAAGTGTGCTGACAACGCACAAATCCACCACAGATCTGCAGAGAGCAAACACCTCTCAAGCTACTAGAAAATACTTTTAACAAGAGTTACATTTCTCTGCATCTTGAGACTCTCTTTGTAGATATGCACTAAAAGCAGTCCACATTTGCAATGGCAGACCAGGCACAAAAGATCTCCACCCATTCACCACAGACAAAAGACTGGCCTAAAATAGGTCCTGAAGGGTACCTCCTTGGACCAGTCCAGTCCCAGATAATACTTTCTCCAAGAGTCTGCCTCTAGAACCTTGACTAGTGCCTGGACCTCTGCTGGGCAACAAGGAAGGACAAAGCAAGTTTACCCACAGAGCCATGGTAGACAACCCAATGTCCTTCAGAAGGTTTGGTCACAGCCCCCATAATTCCATGCTCCCTGGAACTATAGGAGGTACAATCCAAAACATCTGGCAACAACCAAGGTTGTCTGCTCTTTCCACAGACAAAGTTTGTGAAAACAGGGAGAAGATGATTGGAAGTGTGCACAAGCGAAGTGGGCCAAAAGTCCATGAAAGTTAGAGAAGCCCTTTTATTTGGAATCTATCCTTACAATAAAGTGAAGTGCGGGGGGAATCCCATGGCTGACAACTCTAGAGGCCTATCAAAATGCATGTAGTCTTTCTGGGCTGTGAGATCAACCCCCAGTATTGCATATGTCTCTGTCAGTGAAACAGAGTTGCCTTCTTTGTCATTTTCCTGTCCTTCATGTGAAAACATACAGCTTTTAAGTATTATTGTGAAAAACTGATAGAGTAACAAAATAATTCACAGAAGTTTGAGATATTAAAGCCTATGTGACCTCAAGAGAAGGAGAATCATTAAATGAGATCTATTTTCTTACTGCACCTAACTTGGAAATTCAGGTTGGTATGCTATGGAAAAGGAAAAGCTGGGAATCCCAGTTTTAAACCTTACAGAAGATTTGTGTAACAGCAACACACAATGGTGGTTATTCAGAGTAAGAAAAATAGGTAATCTATTTTGACTCATTAAGCATACATGGTAAACTGTATTTTAAAGACAGGGAACAGAGCTACCTAAATATCTACCTAGAACACACATACATATGACCACACATGCGCGCACACACAATCTGACAAATCGGTTAAAAACCGATTGAATGACAAAGTTTAATTTAATTTATTTTATTAAAATAAGATAATCAGAAGAACCTGGGTTTACAATAAATGCTTTCTCTCAAAAGCAATAAAAACAAAATTAAAACCCAAATCAGCAAGTGAAAAACCTGTATATGCCAAGTTTCTTTATAGTGCATCTCAGAAAAAAGTTTCAGAACAGACTAAAGGCTGCTTTTTTGCAGAAATATATTGACAGTATTCCTTATTTTGCCTCTCCTTCTCCCACAAAGCTATAGCTTCTTGCTGGACCCTCCAGGTGCTGCAAGAAACAAGTCCGAAGTACCCAAACAGCTTCTTATGTAATTCTAAGATGATTGTTGCAAGATTGTGCTAGCTTCCTTCTCTGAGCAGTACTAGTTAGAATATAATTCTTGCCATAAAATGAGCATTTTTTCTATGTGCAAAACTATCTGTGTTGTTGAAACTTTACATGCAATAATGTCATCTTGATGCCTAGTAGAAGAAACTTCCTTTTCCCTCTTCTCTTGTCTTCTTTGTGGATGGCCAATTTAGTAAAAATCTCTCCAGCCTGAATGGTACAAAGTTTCATGTTATCAGAACAGCACCATTTGCATTCACTCTTCTCAAGCACTAAGTTACCTTTATAGTTGCTATAGGAAAAAAAAAACCAGTTTATTCAGCAGAATGCAATGGGGGGAGGGGTGAAACCAGTCATCCTTTCTTCTTCTTCTTCTTCTTTTCCTTGCTTTGCATATGGGGAAAAATAAGGCTCAAGTGCATCTATAAAAAATAGCAATAGAGCTTCTTGTATACAGTTCGCTAACTATTTCAATATGATAAACTGTAGAAAAAGGCAACATGGAGTTTTGTCCCTGTAGAATTAAAATGGTAGAAATTCATAGCAGCTCATTCATAAAACTGGCATCCAGATGAATCCCATGCTGGCTCTGCAATCCTGTAGACTGAGGCATTCAAAGCGCAACTGCTAGAACTGTTGAAGAGAGCCGTGGCAGTGCACACAGAGCTCTTAAAAGACAGGTAGCTTTGTTGATGTCAATGTGCATGAATTTATGTCCTGTGTGTGCGTTGCACGATGTAAAGAAGGTTCGGAAGCACTTCGGTTGATTTTGGGTAAAGAGTGCTGCAGCAATTCAATGGAAGACAGTATCTGAGGGGACAAGGTGGGGAGGAGAGAAAAGCGGGAAATGAGTACTGTTTGCATACCTCCACCCATGAAGTTTGTTGTTCTGAATATTATCTATATCATGGCACCAATAAACTCCACACATTGTAAAGTCACTTAAGGAGGGTGGGGGGGGGGGATAAAAAATAGTTTCCCTAAGCTTACAACCTAAATGGAAACAGTGTGAGGCAAATAGCTGACAAAAGGGCAAATGCTATTTTGGGATGCATTTAACAGAAATTTTACTTCCAAATCACAAGTAGTAGTAGTTCCTCTATACTCCTCACGAGTCAGACCTCACCTGGAATACTGTGTCCAGTTCTGGGAACCAAGATTTAGGAAAGATGCAGGTAAATTAGAAAGGGTCCAGAGGAGGACAACAAAAATTGATCCAGGGTTTAGAAGCACTGCCCTGTGAGGAGAGACTGAGAGAACTGGGCATGTTCAGCCTTGAGAAGAGAAGACTCAGGGCAGACATGATATCCCTCTATTAAGTATCTCACAGGCTGTCACAAAGAGGAAGGTCAAGCTCTCCTCTTGCTGATACCAATGTGCAGAACATGGAATAATCAAGTCAAGATGCAACAACCCAGATTCACGCTGAACATCTGAAAATGCTTTCTCACTGTCAGAGCAGTATGACAGTGGAACCAGCTGCCTCGAGAGGTGGTGGGCTCTCCCACACTGGAGACATTCAAAAAGAAGCTGGAGAGCCACCTGAGTGGGGTGGAGTAACGTGGTGCCCTGCAACAGCAGGGGACTGGACTCGATGGCCTTCATGGCCCCTTCCAACTCTACTATTCTATGATTCTATGACAGGGAGAAAAGCAGAAAAATGGACAGGCAAGTGTAAAACCAGGTAACTAAGTAAGCGTGAGCAATAAGCTTAGTTTCAGCTGGCAATGTAATGCATATGAGGGATTGGAGAACTAGCTCAATAGAAATTTCTGATAGTTGTCATAAGATTACAGATCAATTCAGAACATCATAAATATATTACACTATATTAAGCTTCACCAAGGTATTAAAAGTGAATTGAATCCACTATTTCCTTTTTAAAGACTGCTATATAATGTTGGATATACAAAAATGACGATTAAATGTACTGACTATAGTGTGGCCCAGAGTTTTACAAACTAGTATGTTTAGAAGCAAGACCTTTTAGAAGACATTAAAAAAATCTGCCCTTAAAATATATATCCTGTGTAACATTTACAAAGGCTAGATACAGATGAGAGACTGTGGAAGGATGCAGCTTTTCAATGACTGTCTTCACCAGTCACTGCTCTCTCCCTAGGCCTGGGTAAGGCTGCTGCTAGCACAGCACCCATGGAAGCTCTTGTCAACCCCATCCTCTACATCACAACCATTTCTGGTGCTTAAGATCCCCTACTCCCAAGTAGGAAAGATGTCAGCCGCAGGATGGAGTTTATATTCTTCTCCTCTTTGAGTCAATCTGTATGTACACAAAGGCTATTCTTCAGTATTTCTGTCATTTTTCCTTGTATCTTGCTTTATTCAGATACATCACAAAAGGGTGATCATTCTGTAAGAGTTTTAAAACTGGCTTTACCTGTGGGAAGAGAGGTCTTTCTTCCCGAACTTTCTTCACACAATCTGCTACAAGCCGCTTCATAGCTTTGGGACAGTTTTTGTACAGTTTACTGAGGTCTGGTGATGCATAACCATGACCAACCATGAAAATGATCTAAGAATAAGCAAACCAACAAAGTTTAGTAAACCAGACAGAGTGTCAACTACAGTGAAAATGTTTTTAATATAAACTTCACTATTCATAGAGCATGGAGACCAGATGGACAGCTGTATGCGTTTTTAAGAGGAAGGGCCAAAGCCCAACATGGAAGAGCACCTGGCTTTATGTTCAATCCCTGCTGTTTCCAGGTGCAATGGGGAAAGACTCCTGTTCAAAACCCTGAAGAGTTTCTGCTGGGTGCACCAATGATCTGACATGGTAAAAGATCTTTCCTAAAGTCCATTTGAGTGACTGCCAACAAACAAAATTAATTGCCCAGAATTCACCCTCATCCAGGAAGGAACATATGTACATGGAAGCAGCTTAGCAGATGGGAAGCTTCTGTGGACTGGATATGGATCTGCAGTGTGATACATGGACCATTTTACCTAGTTTAGTACAAATTATGTACCATTGTCTCCTTCTCCCTATTGCTTCACTTATAAGAATAGGTACATGTGTAAACTACTGCCCAGTGATTTCCACATGCATTTTTGAGAGGAGTAGCCAGGAATCCATGTCAGATTATTTCCTGTAATTCTAGCCACTAGTTTCAAAATGATACGTTATTTATTTGACTCTGAATCTACCTGATACAGAAAAGAGGAGTATTATTTGCTCAGTTTACAAAAAGCTGAAGATGGCCACACCTGAGCTGAATACATGAAGCCATCTTCTATCATTCAGGGAGAAATGAGAGAGAGAAAAGCCCTAAGTGAAGTGATGTCGTGCACCTGTTGGCATAGAATGTCAGTACCACACCTGAACTGCATCACCTACAGAAGCACCCTAAGAATGCTGCCACTGACAAGGTCACTTATTCCATCCCCAGCTATAAACACTTAAAAAGTACCTTAACATTAGGGCTCTAAAATTTTTGTCTGCTGATCCTGCCCAAGTCAAATTCTACAGGTAACACTGCTTTCCTTGATGGAGACATCTCAACAACAAAGGAAGCCACACTCCAGAAGGGAAGCCAGATGGGGAGCACCCCAGATTCAGTCGGTGCATGGCAGAGGGATCAGAAGGAGGGATCCATTGGAGGCCTTGAGATGCCTCCCACAGGGAAAGAGGAACTTGCCAGCTTTACTGCTGTCCAGCCGTGACGCTTACAAGGGCTGCGGGCAGCCTCTAACCAAGAAGCCCCAGTCAACTATACTGTACCAACACACACAAGGGTGAGGAGCTAGTCACTTTGGCTGTCAAACCAGCTCTGCTCGTCCTCCTTACCTTGGAGCTGTCAGTAGGTAGGAATCACCACCCAGCTGCCAGGGCAATCCTTGCCCACTTCTACAACTTCAGATTTGGAAGGAAGGCGGTTGCCTATCACGTGCACTTCCAATTGCTGCCCTACTTACTGCAGTGAGAATCACTGCCAAAACCTGCCTGTAATTAGCACTGAGGACTCTCTTCAAATATTGGACTAGTAAAAGTGATTTCCCCTCAGTCATATCCCATTGACTGGAAGTAGTTCAGGGACTTTCTCCCATCTAGCACACACCAGTTATCTATGAATAAAACTTTCAGACAGGCAGACAGAAAAGGAGAGAGTTCCCAAACAATTTGTTAACCTAAGGCAAGATCAACTTTAGAGCCACCCCCAGCCCAATCCTATAGAAACAGAGAAGCTCAGAAACTGATAAGGATTCCTAGACTACACACTAGTATGTCTAGGAAAAACTCACTGGTGGGCACTGAGCCATGATAAGTTTTAGCTAAATAGTTAATTTGTATTTGTGGAGCTCTGATTCACCATCCTCAGAAGCCTGATGCTAACACATATTGCACAAGAGGTTGGGGTAGAGTATATGGTTACTGATACTGCAAACTGATACCCTGTGCACTGCTCATAAGATGCATGTAGCCAAGTTCTACGTACGATTTACCATTTTCAAAACAGACAGAAAACAGTGGAATATAATTAGACTGTTCTTTGTCCCATTACACTCTAGAGAAAATCCAGTTATTTTGAAATTAGTGCATGTTAGAGAAAACAGTGCATTACATTAAAAAGCAAAAATTTCTCACCTGGTCTCTATTGTTAATCTGGGAATAGGGTAGCTCTCCTGTCATCAATTCATACAATACTATTCCATAAGAATAGACATCTGATTGGAAACTGAACGGATTGCTATCCTGCATTCGGATGACTTCTGGTGCCTAACAAAACAAACCCAAAAAAAAGCATACTAAGAATTTTTGCCTAGAAAAATGAAAACTTGACCACAATCAATCACAATCCACAATCACAATTCCAAACAAGTTTAACTCACTGAAAATAGTTTCCCAAAACTTTCAAATTGATTCTGAAAAGACACTGGTAACACTGTTTACAGCAGTAAATATTTTATGTTATAATGAATCAGTCAAGTCTTGATGCTCCCAGCACATGTTTTTGCATGTCAAATGACAAGGGCACCTCAGTTTTCAATTTAAACTACAAGATGTAACAGGGACTGAAATTACAAAATCATTAAGAGCAAGAAAAAAACATTCTGAAAAATGATAGGCACACATGTCATTAAAAGCCACATGCTATGAAAAATTACGTAAGAATTAAGGTTAGTAGAAAACTGACAAAATTAAAGGAATCAGATAGTAACATTTAACTGCTTAAAAGCATCAGCAACACATTGATCCAATTAAGGTGCAACAAACCATGACTTGTTGTTACATGAATGGGTCAGCCTAAGCCTCAGGCTGCCTCTGCATGAGAAGGAGATCATCTTCGTAGACAGTATTTCAGAACTTTCTAGAATTTGGCAGGCTGCCCAGCCACCCTTCCCCAGTGTGCATACTCAAGGGGACATGGCTTCCTCTCCTGGCTCAGCACCTAATGGACACGTGCAATACCTTTTAAGAGAGCACTGAGCAGGAGTATGATACATACTTGCAGTTGCAGAAGGGATGGAAGGAGGATCTAGTGTCTGCACAGGTGAATATTCAAGAACCCAGTTAAAGGCAAGCAAGCTGTGCTTCTTTTTGTCTCTCTGCAGCCACAAAGATGAATGACAGAAAGCTAACTTCCTGGAGACTGGCCAAGAGGCAAAGAAGCCACAGAACTCAACATGTCCCTTCCAAAATATCTGTCCTAGCTTGAACTCCTAAAGTTTATAGCGCTGAACAAATGTAGAGTGCTGGGACTAGACCCCTTCCTGGAAAAGATTCAAGACAGACCTTCTGTGGAAGATGATGGAGGACAACACGAACTATAAAATGAAGATGGGAAGAACAAACAAATTAGATGCTGCGTGTGGGATATAGAAAATGGCTTAATGAGGCTAACATAACTGTTAGCCGATGAAAGTCTCTGGAAGGATGCCTCTGCAGTGTGTGTGTTGAGTTTTTTTTTTTTTTTTTTTTTAACACAGAGACCACAAAGGAGAAAAGTATTCTGCATTCAGCTTGACATTCTAGTTTGTTTCAAGTAATCACAATTCCTTAATTTTTGATATAAAGAAGAACTGTAAAATAGCACTACTTCAGGAAACGTTCAGATGTGTGCCTACATCTTCCACAAGGGGCTCTGCCTTTAGTGAAATACCTTAGTTCTCAGGGAACAAAGAAAAAGTGAGAAAAGATTTTGGATTGCACTGTAAATTTAAAGAGTCAGAGGATCATAATTAATGTGAGATCAGCTCAGTGGCTTTTTTCTTAAATACATGATACTTACCATCCAGAGAACAGATCCTGTAGGCTGTTCTACCTGTTGAGAGCCACTCCACCTGGATTTGACTGTTGCCAGGCCAAAGTCTCCTATCTTCACTGTGCGGTCTTCATGAAGAAATATATCTACATAATTGTTCAGGAACACACATTTAAGTTCCCAAACATTGGCACTGCCCTCCTTGTATTCAACTTGGTGTTTCTAGAAGACTGCCCACACTATTTTATTACTTAACACAATCACTGCATTTTAATGATGCTATACAATATTCAATATTTATGGAAGGGAGTAAGATACCAGAAGTGCTTCCTTCCTCCTTCCTGGCACCCAACTCCTCTCTCTGGTTTGCTGGATCACAGAGACAATGCTTGCCCTCTATTTTACCTGCAGAACCCACGCCCAGACCCACACACACTATCTTGTCCCCCCACCCCCCACCACTGTCTTGATATAGCACAATGGACATGTCTTCTTCCTTCCACCTACAGAAATAAAGTTGCCCCCAAAGGCCAGCAGCTTTGCAGCTGTTTCCCTTCTTCTCCTTGCTGCAGCTTTGAGTATTGCCGTATGAGACTTTTATCATGCAATCACCCTGCCCCTTTCACAGAATGGTATGGAGGGTCCAGATGTTGTCTTCCTCTTGCAACCCTCCTGAGCTTTCCCACCACTTCTTCCATCTTTTTTCTTTCCACAAAAAAGTTTGTTAAGGAAGAAAATGCACAACAGCTACACAGTGTCCATCTACTGGTAGTGCTACTGGTGTGAGCCCTCTGTCTTCTACTGGCGGAAGCATCTTATAATATGAATTAATGGTTTAACATTGGTAGAACGTGGATTTTATTCGTATGTGATACTGCCACAGTTCTGCAAAATTAGAGAATCTTTTTTCTACACACAAAAAGGTGTCCTAAGCAGCTATGAAGTACTAAAATGATCAATAATAGCTTGTTTTCAAGCTACATTCGATGCTTTTGGCAGTCTGAAAAGAGTGTGTCTGCACTACATCGTAAAAGGTGGGAACGGGGGGGGGGGGCAAATATTCCCCTGACCTCCTGAAGTTGTCCAACTCTTCTAATGGGTGTTAATTTTAGAATGCATTATGGCTATTATGCTATTATTGTTTACAAAGTGTCTACTTTTCTGTGTCCTGCACTGAGTAATTTTTAATATACTGAAAATGCAGTATATAAATAAAGTGACTAAGGCTTAGCACCAATTCTGATAGGGACAATATACAGTGCAATCTGAGCATTATGAGATTTGTAAGGAACATCAGTTGTGCTTTGAATTTAGAGATCTTGAAAGTAGGAGCTGTTTTCAATCCAGATTTGTATGAAAATAATACATGAATAAGGAGGTATTCATTCATTTTGCCTTAACTGGTAGTCTTAAACTTACCAAATCACCACAGTCAACTAGAAATACTAGATTTCTTTACCATATTGATCAAACTAAAATAGATCAGTGCTTAGGTCACCAAGTAAGGAAAGGATACTATTTGATTTCATATCTCTGTGTATTATATTCTTCGCATGCAAGTAGCTGTAAACAGAAGTTGAAAAATGAAAATTTGAATATTTGAACAAGTGAGAATACAAAGCAACAAATTCCATTCTTAGTCAAATACAAGCAAATACAATTTTTTCAATTATTTAAAAATCATACTAAATGTTTAATATTCAGTATAGCTACAGAAGGCTATTTTATCCATTCAAATTAAGACAGTGCTGCTTTGTTATGTTGAGAGAAATGTCTCTGTAACCTTCACTTTTGCAAAATAAAAAAGAAAAGAAAAGAAGAAAAGAAACCATTGACTTGATTTTCTCTACAATTTATTGTGTGCTTCTGGAGTGACCCCCACCACTTCCACAGCTACAATCATTTTGTAGTTGTTTGTATGGTAACAAGTTGTCATAGCAACCCTTAAGCTTACTCACTCCATTCCTTGTGCTGTCTGTCTTGCAATATCAATACGTTGTAACATCTGAAACTTGGTCTCCTGGACATGCAGGTGTTTATACAAACTACTTCCTTCACACCACTGTGTAACAATAGCCAGATTATCTTTAGTCATGTAGCCCATGAACAGCAAAATATTAACATGCCGGGTTTTCCTAACAGAAACAAATAAGAACAAACATTTTTCAGTTGCATATTTAAAGACTGTAAAACCCATCTTCTTGACTATCATGGCCTTTTAAATGCTGAGAATCAAAGTACAGATGCACACATGGACCTTCTGCCCATTTGTTCAGCTGATCCTCTCACAGAACCTTTAGATACTGCTGTCTGAAGGGATTCAGACTGAGCGCTCTGTTTTGTGGTAACTCTACTTTCTCCTGTGGGGTGGTGGTTCTGGCTCCTGTCTCCATGGGACAAGGAAGGTGGTACTGATGGACTACATCAATTATCAATAACCCATGAGTTGTCATACCATATAAACTGGGCCCACGTGTTCTTCATAAAACAACTTAGTAAATACTGGAAGGCCTTTTGTTGGCTTACCTTAGTACAGCCACTTCATTTCGGAAAGCTTGAAATTGTTCTGGAGTTGGATCTACAACCTTTAATATCTTTACTGCTACATCTCCTGCAAACATAATCCAAAATCATCCAACATAATTATAATAGTCTTGCAGAACTTTGACATCTATCCACAAAGAATATAAAGGAATGGTCACCACAGATTTGGTAGTAAACCTTACATCCAGAAGACCCAGGTTCAGTCCCTTAAGAATCTCCTTAGGCAGGAAACCATGGAAAGAAAAGACAGTATCAGGCTAAAAAACCAATGCTATGCCTCAGTGAGGCTGTTTGCACACCATGATAGCCCACTGTGGGTTATTAAACCCATGGTGAGGCTGTAGCCATTTTGAATATGCAGGCCACTCTTGAAAGTTAACCTTTATTTGCAAGACATGACATGTGGGGGTTAAACAATCTCTTCATATCCCTAGAAAAGACCACGATGTTGTTAAACCCTTGCATAATCCACTGTTGCTTATATAGCCTATGTAGAGCCTTGTACCTGAGTCATTATAGATTGTTATCCACCTCTTGCTCCTTCAGTCTAGCAACCAGTATTGCAGGAGACTGTGTGGCTCTAGCTACTCTCTCTGGTATGATTGGAAGCACTTTCAGATCACCAGAGTTCCCCCTGCCATCCCCCCCCCCCCCACACCAAACTTCACATTCTGAATTCTCCATTCTAACAGCCACTAACAGCCCCTATTAAGTATCCAAGTGACACACTGGAGGGGCTATCAGTCGTTTGCCGGCACCCCTTTTTACCAAAAAAAAAAAAAAAAAAAGTACACCGCAATTGTGCAGTTTTATTAAGCTTTGAGAATCCCAGTACCAAGAGAAAATGATTTCCTCCACCCTTCTTTTGTATACCAAGTTCACTCACGTCTTTGCTTTGAAGAGACAGCTTTTTTTTAGCAGCTATCAAAACGAATCAACATGCAAAAAGCCCCTAATTTGGATCCTCCTTGAATCAATATTTATGATTTGTTCCTGCTATATTACAGCAGGCACCCAAAACAAGCAAGTTTTCCAATTTTTGCACCCATGAAAATGTGCACAACTGTACTTCCAATTAACCAAACTATTTGCACATATTTGGGGCACTTTTTAAAATGAGAAGTGGAAAACCACTGACAGCCCCTCCAATGTGCCACTTGAACAATTCAGCGGGGTTTGTCAGTGGTTGCCAAAATGGAGATCATAAAAAGAAATACCAGGGGGAAAAGGAGATGAGGAGAGCGACATAAAGCCAAAACAGCTTCAGATGGTGGGAGGAACTGAGTCGATGACAGTTGCCCCACCATTCTGCTTGGGCATCAGGAGAGCAGCTGCACCAGGCTGGAACTCTAACAAGCTTGGACAGAATGGCAATGGAGGTTTTACCACTCATGGTGAATGGCTTGCTTCCCACCACCCACAATCCATCATGGGGATAATCGTCCAGGTTTGAATGGCATGCCAATCCCCGTAAGTAGAACAAACCCTGCTACAGACCTTGGGTTGTTAGGATAGCCTATAGGGAAATCAAATGATCACCCTGAAGAAAGTGGTCTTGTCTGACAGTGGGGCAACCCATGATACTTCACTGTGCATAGTGGGTTGTTGTGTCATGTGCATCAGGTAGTTGTGAAGCTCTTATGTCAGATAATCTCTCTCAACACCAACACACTCATCTCAGTACAGAACAGGATCCAAAGAACCGCTCAACTATCTCAAAGGACCTTTGAAATGGCATTTGATGAAGAGCAGACCTGACCACAGAGGGAACTGACCACTGCTCGAACAGAGGGAACTCAAGTTTGCTCTATGGCCCAGGTGTCTTCTCCTACACAGCATACCCAGGCGCTTGGGTGCAGCTGAAGTGTTCTTTGGAACATGGCCAACATTCCAAGCACTGTATTTGTGGAAATACAGGAATACAGCATTGAAACACTCAAATACCAATTTTCTCTCCACTGTAGTACAGCACTCTCTCCTTATTAGAAAAATGGAAAAGATACTTAACATAGAGTGTGTTGCAATAATGAAACAAAGCGTCAATAATTTCCTTGGCCACTTTTATGAATGTGACACCATCCTTTGGCAAGCATGATGAGAGATGCCAGCCTTCCTCCCAACTCTGAAGCTGCAAATGTTAGTGGAGATCTTCCTGGCAAGGACACAGTAATTCCTGCCATGTCCTCAGCTCCAAAATGTCTGCTTAGTTAAGGCATGTGAGAAAGGTTTAAACACATAGGACCAAATCAGTAACTTCCAGTATGGCCACCTTCTCTGCTCTGGAGCAAAAAGGTGGATGAGGGTTGGATACCTGAAGGTACTTGGCAGTTGGCACTCAACTGGCTACTCTCTCCACCAATGAGGCTCACAAAGAAAGCCAGATGAAAAGTTTAGACCACTGTGAAACAATTTAATTTTGAATATTAGAACTACAGGCTTCATGTTGGATCTCAGGAAGTACTTCCTGATGGTTAGGACTCCTAGGATATGAAATGAACTTCCAAGGGAGGGGGTTGAGGCCCCATCGGTGGGGGGTGTTCAAGGAAAGATTGGACAACCACATGTTGGGGATTACATGAGTGGAACCAGGAATCAGAGTAGATGGCCCAGGAGGCCGCTTTTTCTATGTTTCTACTGATTTGGAAATTTTAAAAATTGCAGCGATTAACTTCTTCATACCACTGCATATTTCCCTAAAACGTCATTCCTCTGCTTCTGGAAACTCTGGACATATACTTGTATATTTGATAAAAATAGAGATTTGGGGGAGAATGCAGTTATACTTTTGAGATGGCACAATGCTTATCATATGCTTATATAACATAAATATTATATAGTAATATCACAAATTATGACTTTTTTGAGCAAAAAATGACAAAGGAATTAAGCAATTGAATTTCACAGCTGCTTGTAGATTAACCAGCTTAAAAATCAGAACTTCTCTAATGAATCTTAAGCAGAATGAAAAGAAAGTAATCACAAGTTTCTTGCCACAGAAGGGGCAGTCCAGTTCTGTCGCACTCCACCTAGACAGCATATAGTTTTGTCCCATTAGTGCTAATCATGGTAACTTAATTCCAGCATTAAAAAGCCTAGCTTTATTTATTTCCCCATCAACAGTTTTTAAGCCCAAACAAAGAAAAATAAACTGAAAGTTGCAAAGAAGGAAGAATAACTATAACCAAATGTATTTGCATCAACCCTATAATTCAAGGAAAAGATAGCACTGACACAGCATCATGCATCTTTAAATAGCATTTTGGCTGACCTATCTACAGTACTTTGTTTCCCCTGTGCAGATCAAAGCCCCCACGGTACCTACATCCAATGCAGATGTAATACTAGCTTGGCTGTCAACCTTAGTTAAAAGCATGAGAATAGGCTGCAGATCACACAGTTCCTTCCCCAAGCTCCTTTCTAGGTACATGGGAGTTCTTTCAGATATCCCCTTTCGGCTTAGATTACATCCAACTGATGCCACCCAAAAACCCTGGAGTAATTAACCCTAACTAGTTCTAATGTTGATCAGATGTAACTCTTAACTGGGGCTAAGTGGGGGAGGGGGCAGGCAGGGAGACACAAGGAAAAAGGGAGAGCTCGTATCTCATTAACAGCCAGCTAAGATGATGTCCATACTGGATTGGCCCTGCACATAGCTCCCCTGCAGTCTACCAACCTGCAGTGCCTTCAGGAAATCTTTCAGTTCTTTGCCAAGTGGCTATTTGCAGGCTGATTGCATTTTCAAATTCTACATTGCAACATACTTTCTTTGGCCCACCGTAGTATTTTCGCGAATGCGAGTTCTCTTTTAAATTTCACTACAAACATTTGCTATTAGTAAGATGGCTCCACTATCAGATGTGTAGTTTGGAGTTGTGTGCAAAATGCCTCCATTATTAGTCAAGCAGCATAGGCAGGGATTGCTGTTCTCCTGCCTAATTTACAGCGACAGAAAAACAAACAAGTGCATTGAGAAGTATGGCAGAAATGCTGTTTACAGGCTCTTGTAGTGGCAGTGAGCAGTGTGGTTTGCTAACTGATTTGGCATTAGCAAGGCAAATTCAAGCCCACACCCATGAGTATAAGGTAGACACTGGATTCTCTGCCTCTCCCACAACTTGATCTATTATATCCACACATTATGGTTGCCCAAGATTGACCATTTCCTATCAAAATAGAAACATGTCAATTAGTGTTAATACTTCAAAACAATTCTGAATTCAGTTTAATTGGTATACCTTAGCATTTACTATCTAATTTTTATTTTAGTGACTCTGCATTTAAGCTTATTTAAGTCAGAATTAGTTCATCCAGTTCTATGGTACAGGTTATAATATATTCATTCTATTTCTGCAGCCACATATAGGAACGCTATTTAGAACAGAGTAAGTGCAAACCTGGAACATCAGCATAAAATGTAAGCCACTGGACTGTCTCAGGCTGGTTCCTACTGTGGTAAAACCTGGTATTTGGACATTGTAGGCCTGTTCAATTTGCTGGGTCATGTGCCACACACATGCCCTGTACTTTGAATATGTAACCTTAGATCATCCCATCATGTAGGTTGCTCTGTGACATGTAAATCCGGGCACAACAAGACAACCCACTATGATAGTAAGCCACAGTAAGTTGGCTGTTTTGCAGAGTATCCATAAGACTATCAAGCTCATCATGGTATTTCACACTCTCCCTCTTTTCTCTCCAGGAAGCATCCCAGGGACACTGCAGAAAAGAACAACTCTTCTCTCTGACAGCTATGATCCAGTTTTCATTTACTGCCGTTCTCTCATTTGTAGGCACAAAAAGTTAATTAAGAAATACTGAGCTGCCACAGAAAATCCCTCCAAGTTGCTGAAAGGCACTTTGAAGAGAGAATTCATGCTTGCCTGTTGATGAGATTGTGAATGCAGGCTCTTCAGCTGGCTTTCAGAATATCTTCCCACCCAAAAAATGCCTGAAAGGAACACAGCATTGTGGGGGGTGGGTAGACAATCTCTACCAAATAGCCTCACGTGCTGACTGGGCACTTTGTGGGTGGCTGGAAACATTAGCCACCCAAAAGCCACTTGAACAAGGCATCCACAGATCTCTGCCATACTCGCAAGAGGATCACTGGCTGTTGGGTCTTACCCACAGTGGCTTGCATTGTCCAGGTCTGAACAACACAACAAGCCACCGTGGGTGATAAGAACCCTAGAACAGCCATCAGACACTATTTTTTATGCCATCCTTGGTGAAGCAGCCCCTATTCACATGACGTAACAATCTACCTATGATGACAAACCATTGTTGGTTGTTGTATCCTCTGAATCCTGTCAATGGATTACTTGTAGGTTAACTCAAAGTTAACCTGATTTTTCCCTTTCTTTAGCCCATAGTGTTTGTATCTGCACAGTCTATGTTTAGAATGATCAAAATATGCATATCTAAAATGGCAACACTTTTATGATTGAATAAAGTTACATGCTCTCCTCTCTAGTCTCATATTTAAATATTAGAATGAAAAAATAACTGGCAAAGTAGTCCCTTGAAAATTAAGCTACTTTCAATATTAAAAGAGAACAGCTTAAAATCCAGCAAATGTAGGCAAGTCCAATGAACTCTGCATTCATTTCCATGATGTTGGTTTTGGCACTTTTATTTCTACTACACAACCCAAGAAGAAATACAATGTCCCTTACCTATTACGATATTCACAAATATAATTACAATATTAACACCCCTGCACGCAAAACACGCACATATGGCCTGAAGTTTGTTTTCCACAATATTAGAAAATTTAATATTGATGTTTTGGAAACGCGATGATAGAAATGCTCAATACATACCATGCCACTTGCCCTTGTAAACAGTCCCAAAAGAGCCTGATCCTACTCTGGTAGAGAACATAACTTCACTTGCTTCTATTTCCCAATAATAACTTGAATCTCTCTGCCCACGAGGTCTCTGGAAAGCAAGGAGGTATTTTCAATTCAGACAGTACAGCCAAGAAACCATGTTGTACACGTTAAGATTAAAGCCAGGATTAGCTGTGATCCTTGTCATTTGGAAACAGATGCTAGATGCAACATGCACACTTCTAATGCAGACTGAGCAAATTATCACAGGAAAGGAATTAGCATTAAACCACTTTCTGTATGATTCAGAAGGCAGTTTCCAATCCCCTGGTGCCAGTAGATGAGTAGCTGTCAGTTATACCAACATAAAATCAGAAACTATGAGTCTTGATCAACTCAAGAAGTTTTTGCAAGGACCAGGGTCACGATGGTAATACTTATAAGGAAGCAGGCACTCCTGAGAATTCTATGACTTGTTTCCCTATGCATTGTTTCGGATTATGGTGCAGATCCAATCTAGTGAAGTCAAGCATTAATGTGAACAAGCCCTTAGCTATTTTTAGAAGTTCACCCAATATTTGGCCATCCTCTCTCCAATGAAATCCATGCATGCAATTCAAGCCTAAGTTTCTTCTCAAGAACTTCAGATGTTTCCCATCAGACAGAAGAGTAGAAGCGGAAAGCAGGGCTAATTTCTCCCCTCTGTGGTGCCTGCAGTTGCTTTTTATCTTCCCCCTTCTTTTGCATGTCATGTCTTTTAGCTCATAAGCCTGAGGGTAGTGATTGCCTTATGACTGGTATCTGTAGGCGATTCTGAGAGTCTTTTGGGGTAAAAAGTGTTTTTGTCATGGGTGCCATGACAACTGTGGGGCTGTCTCAGCATGTCACTGGCCCAGTGCATGAGAAATGTCATACTCTGGGCCTGGTCTTTTCAACAGGACAGGGAGATGGGGATTCTGATGTGGAAGGGCTAATATCTATTCATTTGTCATGGTTGAACCACTACCTGGTTAAGTTTAGGCTGTCGCCTTCTTTTCCGCTTTACAAGCGTGGGGGATCAATTAGAATGATCCACTCTTGATGGATCCTGATGGCTTCCAAAGGGCTTTGGGGGAATATCTGGCTGATATGGTTGGCGTTCCTGTTGATGCCCAAGTTGCCTTATGGAATAGGGAAATGGCTCAGGCTATTTATTTATTTATTTAGGAAACTTCTATGCCGCCCCATTCGCCGAAGCCTTGGGGCGGCTCACAAACATAAATAAACTTCCTTAAAATAATATAAATTAACAGTATAAATTAAGTCACCCTGGCCAAAGAATAAAATAAATACTATTAACAGTTAAAATGACATATTGACTCAATCGTGCTAAAGTGCCCTCTCCCTACCAGATGAGCCCATTCATCACCGTGGTATGATGATATGCTGAGGGCAATGAAGCAGATAGGGAGCTGGCTAGATCACAGGTGGAGGAAGTCCCATGACGAGTCTGATCAAGCACATTTAAAAGCTCATCATCAAGCCTACTTGGTGGCAAAATGTGGATACTATGCCTCCCTTATTGCTTCCTTGCAGCGCCATCCAGCTGCGCTTTTCTGAGTGGTCCAGGGCTTCCTGCAATCTGGTTCTCCAGATGAAACCCCAAAGCCCGCAACAGCTCTGTGTGACAAATTTGCTTCGCACTTTCAAGGAAAAATCGCTCAAATCAGCCTGGAGCTTGACAGTGTAGTGCAATCTTTGGATGTGTCTAGTACACTATCTAGATCCATTATTGGATGAGTTTCAGTTATTGAGACCTGAGGATGTGGACAAGGTGCTTGGCTCTGTCCAAGTCACCACATGCCTTCTTGACCCTTGCCCATCTTGGTTGATTGGGAGATCTGAAGGGATTCGGCCCTGGGTCCAGGAGGCTGTCAACACCTCATTAAGTGAGAGAGTGGTCCCTACCCCATTAAAGGAGGCAGTAGTGAGATCACTCCTTAAAAGGTCAGGCCTGGATCCAGGGGTAGTGGATAACTACCGGCCCATTATTAATCTCCCCTTTTTGGGCAAGGTGTTGGAGTAGGTGGTGGCCAGGCAGCTGCAGGCACTCTTGGAGGATACGGATTACCTGGATCCATTTCAACTGGGCTTTAGGCCTGTGTTTGGAACGGAGATGGCCTTGGTTACCCTGTATGATGACCTCCTTGACCTATCAGCAGCCTTGAACACCATCGACCATGGTGTCCTTCTGGACAGATTGGCCGGGGTTGGGGTTGGAGGCACTGCTTTGTGTTGGTTCCACTCCTACCTGGCTGGGTGAGTCCAGAAGATAGTTTTGGGGGACTGTTGCTCTCTGCCATGGAGGTTGCATCATGGGGTACTGCAAGGTTCAGCGCTATCCCCCATGCTTTTTAACATCTATATGAAGTCGCTGGGAGAAGTCATCCAGAGGTTTGGGCTGAGAACTCAGCAATATGCTAATGATACTCAGCACTACTTCTCTTTTACATCTCACGCAGGTGAGGCTGTCACCATCATGAACCAGGGCCTGAGCTCAATAATGGACCGGATGAGGGTCAATAAACTGAGGCTCAATCCTGACATGACAGAGGTGCTGCTAGTGCGGGGGGTGTCATCTGACCGCTTGGAGGGGCACTGCCCTGTCCTTCATGGGGTTGCAGTCCTCCTGTGGGCCAGGGTCTGCAGTCTGGGGGTGCTCCTAGATCTGGAATCTCAGGTGGAGTTCAGTGTCCAGGAGCATTTTCCTCCAGCTATGGAGGATGTATCAGCTTCGTCCCTACCTGGACAGAGACTGAAAACAATTACCCCTGCACCAGTAACATCCAAAATACATTAGTGCAATGCGCTCTACATGCGGCTGCCCTTGAAGATGGTCCAGCAATTACAATTGGTCCAGAATAGGACCAGTCAGTTGGTGACGGGAGCCCCTAGAGCTGCCCACGTAACACCTATACTGAAAGATCTTCATTAGTTACCAATTGTGGCCCAGGCCCCATTCAAGGTGCTTGTGTTGACATATAAAGACCTAAACAGCTAGGCCCCCAGTTATCTTAGGGAGCACCCTGCACCCATACGTGCCTACCCGGCCTTTGAGCTCTCCACAGGGAGCCCTCCTGTGTGAGCCATCCCTTAAGGAAGTGAGAGGGATGGCCGCTAGGAGGAGGGCCTTTTCTGCAGCTGCTCCCCATATCTGGAATGCTCTCCTCAAGGAGGTTTGTCTGGCGCCTTCCTTACTTTCTTTTTGGCACCAGGTGGTGAAGACCTTCCTTTTTAAAAAACATTTCATTAACTAATTGCGATATGACCTTTGTTTTGTATTTCTGCTTGTATTTCATTGTTATTTTATTTTTAATGTGTTATTGGTTTTTATTATGCTTTTATCTTGTAATTGTGAGCCGCCCAGAGGTGCTGTGGCACAATTGGGAAGCATACAAATGTTAGAAAGAAATAAAGCAAGCAAGCAAGCAATAAAATGCTAATTCTAAATAAATTAACAACAGTCAAACACATCTCCAAACAATATGTAAATCAAAGCCATATAGCTATTTGCAAAAATTAAACACAGATATTTGAAGCTCATCTTATTCCCAATTGTTTGATACTTACAATTTTTTTTTCTTGTGAATTAGATCCTGAAACTCTCTCTCTTTGGGACGGAACTGGTGTCTTAGGCTGAGACCATCCTGTTGGACTTGTATTGGTAGGGCTTCCAGATACAGCTGATGGTGATCCTTTAGATATTTAGAAAAAGGGGGAAAGATACGAACGTTAGAGAACTTTTGTATGAGAAAATCTTACGTGCAGAAACTGACATGAAATTGCAACTAGATCACGTTGCATTACAAGGCATGTTGTGTGTGTATTTTCCATAATGAATGATGCCTGTTAACTTTAACATAGAAGCATTTTCTACATATAAATTTGTAAAGTGGGAAGTGTCCCTCAGTACACTCAGTTAACTTATTTTAATGAAATACTCACCAGATTCACTGTGACTACGTATGGCATCCTGAAACAAAGAGAAAGGGTATCAACACTTTGGCATATTTTCTGTGGCAATCAGAACATATTAGAAAATTCCTCCATCATGAGAAACTGACTCAGTAGAGCTGAGACACTTCACCACCATTGGGTGGTGGTGGGGAGAGATGTTGTGCATTTTGAATAAATACTAATGTTAACTTGCATAATATATGAAGAGTACTTAATTTTTGAAAGGCTTTCAAGTATGAGAGCCAATTATCTCCTGAAAATTCTGAAGGAACATTTAATCTATATTCCAAAAAAAAAAAAAGCTGTTATTTGCCAACCCACTTGGGGAGATGTTCCAAAATCCAGCTTTTTTAAAGCATACCTTACATACCCTACTATCTACAGCAAGTGCACTTCTGTTTGAGTAGATTGCTCTGTTTAAAACATAGCAAGGAACTGGATTTGTAAAAGTTTCAGATAAGCAGAAATCCACATGTCCCCACTATACCATTGCTACAACTGAGCTGGTTTCTCCTCATGCCATACATGCTACCCTGTGTAAACATGCACAGTTTTGACAGAAGACACAAATGTACTGTTCTCCATGTGTCCAATATCATCCAAAGCACAGTTTAGATAACTGACAGAAATATACATGCCCAAATACCTCACAAAGCAAAACTCAGGGTCAAAACAAGGGCAATGCAGTTCTGCTAAAGCTAAACAGTTCTGGCCCTTTAAACTGCCTAGGAAGTGCCCAGAGCTCTTTGGAGGATAAGCAGGGTATAATGTGATCAATAAAGCCAAAGTAATGAGCATTCAAATCAATTACTAATCAAGCTAGGAAAAACATTAGGCAGGATGGAATGCTACGCAAGAACTGAATGTATGTATGGTATTGTGAGAATTAAGCAACTGGGGACCGTGTCAGGAACCCCAAGAACCCTCTGGGAAAGTAGAAAATATTTCTCTGTGTGCAAGAGGAATAAGGCAATAGCCTTTTTCCTCTTGTTGCAGACGTCTCCTGCCAATTCTGAAGCAGTTCTTTGAGCGACATGGAAAGGGCGAAGCCTAGAAAAGCCCTGGTGTGCACAGGGTGTTCAGTACATGACCCTCTCAATTCCTGCCAGTATTTCACCAACTGTTTCAAGTACTTGTTGCCTACACAGCACAGGTTGCTCTTCAGTGCTTTAAAACAAACCAAGTTCTTCCTGCACAAAAGCATCATCTAGACAAAGATAAAATCACTTTGTGTCACGGTTTTTCCAATTTAACTTAAATATAATGTACCCATTTTTGTACAACAAATTGTTTACAGTATTGTTTTGAGCTGTCTTCTATAATCTCAAGTTTTCATTTACTGAAGTCTTGCTCTGTATAAAACTAAACTATCAGTCTTCATTTCAATACAAATTTTGGGGGAGAACCCTTGCAACTGCTAGGAACCTATGTTGTGAGATTTCAGCCTATGTTTGTATACATTAAGGTTTTTTCCATTATTTCCGTTTACCATTTGAAGATACAACCAGATACATAAGGATAACAGAGAAACTAATAGGTTTACTCCAAAAGGTATGGACTTTACCTTGTTCTTCTGACAGCCTAATTTGGGGTTGACATTCTATTTGATATTATCAACTCTAGTTTTCATATTAGGAACAAACAAACATGCTACACTGATATTTCTAAATGAAACTGTTAAACTACAGTTGTGTTAATTCCCACTAATATGGCCAACTGTTTTAGCAATCCTGTTAACTGAAGAAAGCAAAGGCATCCAGACAATACCTACTCTTCCCCTTAAACAGAATCGTCTGCACCAGGACCTGGGAGAAGCATTCAGGCTGTTATTCTAGTTCAAAGCAATGAGAAATAAGAAGAGAACAGAAGGAGTAGTAAAAAAATAGTTTCCAGCTGCTAAAAGGAAAGAAGTATAGTAGACAACTTGAAAGAAAAGTGAGTTAACACAGCTAATGTGCATGTTACTTTATCCAGGAACTGAAATTTCAAAAGTGACGCAAGAATGCTTGATACAAGTTAGACAAGCAGGCATCCCAATTCTGAAACAGCCAAGTCTAAAAGAAACTAATGAGAAAAGAATCAAGGTATTGGTGAGGAGGGTTGGGAAATTGTAACCCTTAATAGACAGATACATGAACAAAACGTAGTGATAGCTGATGCTGAATCAAGCACAGTTAATACAAGTTTAGCAGATCTGCAAATCTACAAGAACCTGGAGGCTACCAGATGCAAATGGACTCAGAGGAAACTTTCCGGGAAAGACTTCCTAACATGATTCAAGAAGCTATCAATGAGGCCTGACCAACTTGCAATAGCACACACCTTTCCAGAAGGCAAGCATAAACATGAAAACACTCGGAAGACCAAAATAAAGCCCACCCACACTCATCCTATCAGAACATCCAGGAAACAAAATTAGGGAGAATGAGTGTCTATAGATTTCATGAGTCTTATAGACAAGGCTGTGTTTCTTCTATCCTTAAAAATAAAACCAGTATTCTGCAACAAACTGTAAGCATTATGCATTGTACAGATTATACTAATTAAATTGCATATGTAAGGCTTATTTTACCAAGTTTCTTCAGATAGCACTGAAGTACTTCCCTCACTCAGCTCCACGCCTTTCTATGTTGCTCCGACACATTAAAACCTACAGAAAGTCTTAAAGGCCAGGCACTTGTTGAATTCTCTGCCTTAAATCAAAGTATGCTAGATCTTCGTACAATTGCAGAATCATGGGAACCTAAAATCAGGGGAATCATATCCCCAAAGACAGAAACGTTCTGCCATTTTAAAACTGAGCTGCAAAAGATTTCTTTTGCACACTGGAGTTCAGCTAGACCAATATGTAGGGCATGGAAATATAGGCTGTCTCTGAAAATTCCTGGAAAAAAACTTGTAATATCAAAACATAAATGAAAGATATGAGTTTCATTTGTTTGTTTGTTTAACTTGGCTACATATGCAGGAGTAGGAATACCTCAATTATCCGGTTATCCACAGGCATAGCAGTGCTGACCATGTGGACGTTTGGAGTTGATGTGGATCTCTGTCTCTGAGAAAGGGAGCACTCCGGAGGATTTGATGTGTTGAATGTGAAGGCATGGGGTGTGGAGTATCTGTGCTGAGAACTAAAAGAAAAAAAGTCATTATTCTGCTTCTGTACTAGGATCTGTAAAGTTATTCAAGAGCCTCCAGTAGATAAGCCTATTTCATAAGGTCTCAGAATACACCAGGAATAAGCAACATGTCCATGCATTCCCCCTTCCCTGGCTTTGGCAAAGCTTTCCTGTTTCTGAAGCCGCAGTTCCCATAACATCCAGACCAGGAAACTGTTTTAAGCACTGTCTCCAACTAGAATAGCACAGACAGACTGGATCCTAAAGTCCCAGTAAAAAGCATTTGCAATTTTTACCCATGGAATGTTCTTCCATGCCACTGCTAAGCATGAAAGTCACAATATGGGAAGAATTTAAACAAGCCATGTCCAAATTCTCTGCATAATTGTATCCAGCTTGTAGGTGGACTTAGTTAAAACTTTCCCATAATCTTTACAAATCCACCAGAAGGCAAAATGTTTTTCAATTAACCTACTAGCCAAATGTGAATAGACAACAAAACAATTCTGAGGGGACAGCAAGGCACAGGTTGAGTCCAAACCTTCCTCAATTGAGTACATTCCTTCCTTACTTCTCAGCAAAAAGAAACCAGAGCTTGGTTTGCTTTTGTCCTCCAAGCCTAAATTTAAAACTAAGGTTTAAGACTGTGTTCTCATTCTGGTACTTTGCGAATTTGTTGTGACAGCAAACTATTTCTGACTTGTCTAAACGCAGAAGCAATGACAGGCAACCCAGCGCAAGAACCAGAAGACAGTCAAACCACAGTTTGGAACTACATGTGAACAGGCCCTTTTAAAAGAAAACTAACTAAAAGATGAATAAAATCATTAATAACATTAAACATTAGAACTCTAGACCCTAGTGCTTAGAATGCAGTCTTAGAACTGCAGGCCAAAAACTATTTCCTAGCATACCATTTACATAAAATGTAGGAGTTCAGCCCAAAAAGGCCTTTACATACTATCTGAACATAAAACATTACTGTTATGAATTCTGTCACAAAATGAAGATTCAAGTACAACTTACTTAACAGGTATTCGAGACACAGACTCCCGAATTCTCCGAGTTGTCAAAGAAGGTAGTGCAGGCACACCACTATCACCAACATTTGAATGTGGGAATAATCTGAAATGAAATGCATGTAAGACAATAAAAATAAAATCAACAGTGTTTTTTAAAGTTCCCAAAGTCTTACTGATTGAACCAGCGTTCTTGTTCTGATTTTAGAACAGCTGCATTTTCTCACCAGGGAATAAAGAAAATCGGTATAACACTGCAAGTAGCAACTTGTTCTTTCTAGGAATGTGATCGCATTTAAGTGGACCAGAGTAATTGTGACTATTCATCCAATACTAGAATCAGTATCTTACACCTTTACACAAAGACCCTTGAGAAACCTCAGTTCTACAGCTATAACAGAACAATGCAATTCATGCAGGACAAACAAGGGAAAAACACAATTCCAAGTGTTTTTCCCTGTTAATGGTATTACTTCCTGAAATGATCACTTCTACAGAAAAATTATGAAAACAAATATGCAGGCAACTCACAGAAGCCAAATTCCCCATATCTATGATAGGAACTGGAAGTACCAACACATTGTTACAATGCAGTAATGGAAAAACAACACCCAGCAGTGGATTCAATTATGGAACTACTGCAATTCCTGAATTCTTTTTAAATTCTTCAGTCAGGAGCAATGACAATCCAACACGCTGAGCAGAGGATATGAAAAAACTTGTACCAGAGCAAAGAGATGCAACAGAAATAATTTTAGTTGGCAGACAGTGAGGGCAACTGAGGAAACACCCTGAACATTTAGGGAAAACTATTGCTCTTTCACACAGAACTCTGAGTAAAACAGAGTTATCAAGTAGGCCACTTATCCTTGATTTTGTCATTTATAAGCATGACAAAACATCTCACTTCAATGGAATTGCTGTATGATATAGGTAGGAAGGAATGCTTTTTGATTGGCTCTTTTTACAGGATTCAGGCTTTTGCTTTTAGATAGGCATTAAATTTATGCTTGAAGAATTGCTTCCATGTCTGCTAACTAGTTTGTTTCAATAAAAAATTCCTTACAAGAGTTGTCGGATATTGCTCCAGTCCACACACATAGTTGGAACTTTCGTGCTGCAGTGTTCATGGAATTTATAACCACAGGTTTGACACCGGAATCCATTTAGTAAAAACTTCTGGCAAATGTCACAGTATGCAAGTTTTAGAAATGTCTTCCGTGCCTAGAAAATAAGTTTAATAATTTTATTATCATTCATTTTATTATTGTATACTCTAAGAAGTATTCCAAGATCATAACTAAGACTGAATGAGTTGAAGTCAAAATTATTAAATTACTGAAATATTTGTTTCAAAATTAAATGCTTGCATGTTATATTCAAGAAATGATTTCACATTTTACCATTAAGAATCTATATTTTACAAATGAGAATATAGTAATCTTTAAACATCGTTTAATCAGAACACATAATCCTATAATTAACCACTATTAAAATGTTTTAGCTTTTGTAATGAAAATAAATCACATTATAAATCATTCTGTTTTCAACATTTACATAGTGCTGAGCAGGAAAAACTCACTCTACCTATGACTGCTGACTGGAAATAAGAGAAGGGTTTCTCTACACAGAAGAACATAAGAGCAGCACGACATCAGACCAAGGCTACATCATTTTATTCACACAGTAGCCAGCAAGTAGCCCATGGAATGTAAGTACAGTAGCACCTTCCCACCAAAGCTCCTGATGTACAGATTACCTCAGGCCATCCCTGCACGCAGGGGAAAAGGAACCCAGTGGTGGTAGGGGATAAGGCTTAGGGAGAAGAGGCCCATCCTCTGGGACCTTCTACCTCCAGGATGTATCCCAGGAGGCAATTTGACTCCTTGGGCTAGAACAGGTTCTCCCACCTCCTCTAAAGTTTCACCTGTTTATAATAAAGTTGATCATTTGCTGACAAATGATCATTTCTTTACCTTAAAAAATGGTAATCATTCTAGAGCATTCTGCCTTTACAAGGTGTGAGGTGAGCATACCATAAACCCTTTAGTGCACTATAGCTATATAATTAATAATAAAAGCCTCTCAGTCATGCTCCTATAGAACAATTCCAGGTCTTCTATGCATACAAAACTAGAGCAACCTACAAAGTTGTGTGTTGTGAGTGGCACATGATCAAGGAAGTCCACTTGCAATTCTTCTCCAATCAAGGATGCAGCATCTGTACTCCAATCCAGTCTTGCCTTTTTTCTGTAAGAAAAGGAAATATATGTAGCACATTTAGGAAGCTAATACAATATGAAAACTAAAACACTACTGAATCTTAATTACTTTTCTCGGGTATTGGTTTAGAATCTTCAGGAACAGAGCCCCTTTTAAGATGCACAGTCATTACCATATTTGGAAGCAGTTAACACTGTAGACACCAAAACTCGTGCAACTCACAAATTATTTATCCCATGACTGTGACTTAACATGTCATTAAACACAACCTTGAGAGAGGTGAAGTCAGTAAGTTATCATCACTCCCTCAATTTGTTAAAGAAGCATTTGGTATTTAAACAGCACATTTGAGCCTATAAAAAGTAGAATACTCAGGGTGAGAACCACATTAGCCCAAATAAAAGTTTCAAACATGTAACTTAAACAGGAACAAAACAAAAAAAATCAGCTGCCATACAAAATAACTACAATATTGATATCTATAAAATTAAGAATGTTTTAGCATTAAGCTTTAGAAAACAAATTTGTTTCACTTGTAATGCAAATAATTTAACTACTCTGCTTACCTGCAAATCAGATATTTAAGTATATGCAATACAGAAGTGGTGAATTTTGGCTTAATGTGCCCGTGATTTTTTTTACTGTCAAATGAACATTTACAGTTAGTGGCATTAGCTAACAGAACTTTTGAATGAAAGAAAAGCAGGAGAGAAGAGATTTGTAAAAATGAATTTGTCCAAGTTGGCATTCTAATTCTTACCCTTTGTGTTCACTAAGTAATCTAAAAACTGCACAACATTCGGGCTGCAAACCTCTGACTTTGAGAGCTTTCATGAGACAATCATGAAGGGACATTCCATTTCGTACATTCACCTGTTAAATAAAAAAATATATAGTTTTATTATACCAAAAGAGATTTAGAAACATCATAATCTTCCAAATATCGACTAAGTATTACAACATTTTTTAAAAATTCTAGATAACTGCAAGCTATTGTACAATACTCTGAGAACGCAATACTTCAATTGTGGCATTTCACACAAGTAATGCTGCTAATCTCATAACCAAGGATGAAGTAAGTGGGCTAACACTCCCCCACCCCACAGATCCCCTCTCATCTCCCTTGCTTGCCAAAAGCTTCAACTAATATACTCTCTTATGTGGAAGCAAGCCCCACTAGACTCAATGGGACTTATTTCTAAATTGACATATATGGGATCACACAATTAATCATGTTGTTATCTATACTGGTACAAAACATGGTTATTGTTAAAAAGAATTCTTATATTTACCAGATTTTTAAAAAAGCTTAAAAGGGAGCCTGGCTACTGGCTGATTACTATGGCTGGCAGTAGTGTATATGTAATACACAGCAGGCCAACCAAGGAAAATGAGAGGGCAATTTATATGGGAGAGAAAAAGATAAATGGAAGTGGGCCCATTTCTGATCATTTACTGACAGTAAAGAGTTTAGCAGCATTATATCTGCACTAATCAATCTACAGTGTGAAAACCTGTATATTAACTATTTAACTAGCTGATAGCCACAGGAGACAAGGAGTTGCATGCAGACAAATGCATGGAATTCCACAGATAGGTGAGTGGATTGACAAAGGAAGGCACACAGTGCTCCATCCTTCCAGTAGACTGCCAGGAGGGAAGCCCCCACCTTCACACTGCGCCTAGAAATACCAGGGATTGTTGGAAGAAAGACTGGGATGGCTCCTCTGCTAGTCCCCAGCAGATAAATTAAAACATTTTCAAACTAGTAAAGTATGTAGGATTTTTGAACAGGCTGGTATAAGGTGTACTGGTCAGTGAGAGAAAAAAGTCATATAATGGACTTACCAAACACTAATCAACAGATCTCTTCTAGCCCCACTGCAATTAGCCTAAGGTGATACAACTTGCCCTACTGGCAACAATCTACACCTTAATTTTATGGTGTTGATACAACTGTTGCAAGTCTTTAATGCACTGATGACTCATTTTCAGAAGCAGAAAACACAAGAAGGGTTTTCTGACTAACACTATTATCCCAAAGTGTCCATTAGCAAGACCCATTTGTCAGAGACAGAATCACATATTCAGGGAAGTGATACTAGTCTCATTGCTCTTCCCAAAGTAATGTGAATATTGGGCCAGCATGTTGAACAAAACATCACTGTATCCATCCTGAAGTCTCTACATTTTAAACAGTATTAGACTACTAGGGCAGTGGAATGTTTATACATGATGGGAGAAACAGCCAGCCTTTCATCTTGCACAAAACAAGAAACAGACTCACCACTGTGCGTTGCTTGTTAGGCAAGAAAACACGAATGGTATTGCTTGTCTTGGAGGAATCTGAAAGTTTCCCATCATCAGATGCTCTGCGTTGATAGCCGAACTGCTGGACAATAGTAGGTGAAATACAGCTGGATCCATTGAAGACAGAATCCTTTAATCCAATTCCATCAGTAAGAGCCTTCCAAGCTCCATGAATGTGGTCCATTGAGGCAGTCTAAGTAACAAAAACCTTTTAAAAAGAAGGACAAACACGTTCTGAAGACAAGTCTTCTTAAAGGCAAAATCAAAACAATTTTTAATTGATCTACTGCAAAGGAGACATTTGCAACACTAAGGTGTAGGCCAGCGATTGTAATTTATGTCATCAACTGTAAGAAAAACTTGTTAACTGTTCTTCTTTTGTGTGAGTCTTTATAGACTGAGATGTAGACAAGTATCCAGTGTAAATAGAACTGCATGAAGCATATGCATTATTGTTTCTTAGGCACACCAGAGATATTCATTCTTAACAGCTAAAGGAAGGGTAACTTTGAGACAAATACATTTTCTTTAAACCGCTACTAAGAACAAACTGAGAAGATGTTTACATTTACACAATAGCTAAAATGTCAGTGCACACTAGAGTGCTGAACTGGAACTAAGAGTCAAGTCCCCACTGTCATAAAGCTAACTGGATGACTTTGGGGTAGTCACCAATAGCCTAACCTAACTCACAAGGTTGTTGTGTGGATAAAATGGAATGGAAGAGTTTTATATAAGCCACCTTGGGATCCTTGGAGGTAGTGGAAAAAAATGTAATAAAGAAATCAATAATGGTTTGCACTAATATGTCTTGTTTTAATCAAATGCAAACTACATTTAAGGTGTTGGTAATAACTTATAAGGCCCTAAATGACTTGGGTCCTGGATACTAGAAGGAGTGCCTTCTTTCCTATGGGCCAGCCTGCCCCTTGGGATCAGAGACAGAGGGCCTTCTCCGGGAACCCTCTTTGAAGGAAATCAGGAGGGTAGTTACTCAGAGAAGGGCCTTTTTCAATGGTGGCGCCCCAACTGTGGAACATGCTCCCCAGGGAGGTTCGCCTGGTGCCATCGCTCTATTCTTTATGGCCTCAGTTGTTTTCCTGGTATTTTAACAATTAATTGGTTTTATCCTTGTTTTTATCACTATTTTTAGATCCAGTGTGTTGTGCGTTGTTGCTGTTATGGTTTTTGTTCCTTGGTTTTTTTGTTCCTTGTAAGCTGTCCAGAGACTTTTTTAGTAATGGACGGCATAGAAAAGCTTTACATACATACATTTTCCAAAAGAGTAGAAAAGAAGCTAATTCACAACTGCAGTATTAATGAATTGGTGTATTTGTTAACAACCTTTCTTAAGTACAGCTCTTTTCACATATTACTCATACAAAGAGGCGCTCACACAAGCAAAGGGCAGTGAGGTTTTGCTGGTGGCCCCATCCCAAAGGTCACACAGGTTCCCTTCGTTCCATTAGCTCATAAGAGTTCAGCATAGACATATGCAGGGCAAAAGCCAAGGAATGCAGCTTCTGTAGCATCAACACTGGATAAAGGAATACTGCACAATAGCAATGCTTCTCGATTGTGTAAGCACACTTTCACATAAGCAATCTTTTATATTCAAGATTTTATTACATAGTTTGCAAGCTGTCAAAGGTATTTTAGGCTGCAATCCTAAACAAACTTAACAGGGACTAAGCCCCAGTGAAACAGGATAAATTACTTCTCAGTACACATGCACACGGCTGTGTTGCTAATACACCAATCTTCTAAGCAATTAGCAAATGTAAATAAGCCTGCATGTGATAATCTTAACATAGGTGCCCTTTTGAGATACTAAAGTGTAACAGAATTTAACCGAAGTTATCACTTATTACAAAGCTCATTTTTATATGTTCTTCTTGAGAACCTATTACAACTTTGTAAGTAAGCTCACAAGGAATGGAAATGAAGGGAAGCTGTCACTGAGAAGTATCTGCCTTAGGTGCCGACTGATCTGTCTGGGCAGAATAGTTTTGATGATACCTCATTGTGGTTGGACATTGCAATAATACATGTTAAAGTGGGATGCTGCAAGAGAAAACCATAACACTCAGCCTGAACTCCATCCCCTGGCTAGCTGTGGAGTAGAAGAAGGTTTCTTCCAGAATTCCCTTGCCACCCAAGGAACAAAGGGAGCACTGACAAACCAATCAGCCTGTGAATTCAGACTAAACCAAGTCTATGATAGGATCCTTCACTGGCACTTCAAGCAGTTCAGCCTGGAGTCCTGAAGAAGCAACTATACACAGAAGCTGCTCAACAGATTGGAGATTATTCTCCAGAATGATGGTGAGGAGTGGCCATGCATCTGAAAGATGAAAGTAGAAAACAGCTGGATGCTAAGAAATCTGACCAATAATCATCCATGTCAAATTCTAACTGCACGGCTAACTGAAATAGTATAATTAGTAGTCACTGTCCAAGCAGCTGAGGCAGTGCAAGAATCAATGCTGAAGAAACCACTGGAACCAACCTTGAAAGTGTTGGGATTGACATCTCTGAATGTCAGTGAAGCCACTGCCTACGGCTTAGCTAATGGTTCCAGTGGTGGGGAACAATGGCTGCCACCAGTATCATTTGTGGCAAAATTGGAGGTCCTGGGCTGGGAGATCTCCTATAGGCTAAGTAATTCCATTGGTTTGAAGGTAGATAGGAGTTGAAATACCACTATAATAGGTATCCCTATAAAGTCTTCAACGAGAATATCTCTATGGAGAACCATGTCCTCTTTGGGAATAAGAGACAGCATAGGAGTGACATGCCAAGCTTTATATTTCTTTTCCTTTAGCAGTTCATTCCCCTGGCCTTATTTATTCATCTGTGCAATCCCACCCAGTACTGGTGAGGTGGCAGAACCATGCTTGCCAATGCTGAAGCCACTCGGTCTGAAGTGCTCAAGGAAACTAACATTCAGAGGACTTCCAAGATGGACAGTACTGAGACTGAGGAAATCAAACTTATTTTTAGAGACGGTTTCAAGCAGATTGAGAAAGAAGTGGACTCTGTTGCATGGAACTGGATGCCTGCAAGACTCATCCTGAAAGTGCTGCATGAAGGCATTTTGTCTCACTTGCTTCATAAAACCTTAGCAACAAATGAACATTTTAATGAGGTGGTCTAAACACAAAAGGCAAAGGTTGGGTTCATTTCCCACTTTCTCCCATAATCTGCACACTTAGGAATTAAGCCCAGAGGGCCACAGACCTCTAGGAGACAGCTGTGACATGTGGCAATCCACCCCTCACCCAAAAAAAAAACTCAACTGCACAACTGAAAGGCAGAATACAACAACAACAATATATATATAAAGGGAGAAAATCTAGAACAAAATCATTTGCTTACTCAGCTCAATCCCCTTACTTTAAATGATCATAAAGAAAGGGCTGCTGTAGTAGTCAACATGAAACTGAGGGGAAAGGAGGGAGTGCCACCCTGAAATATGGCAGCAGGGGAACTTAGGGAAGGTTTCCCACCAAGCACTCTCAGCTCTACAAGGTTCTGCATAAACACAAAACCTACAAGTGAACAGACCATAAAGAAGAACCAGAAAGAGTCCTCTGCAGAAAGGAGCACAAAAGGAGTGGTGAGGGGGATGGCATGCCTGAGCTCAGTACCTTCATCACCAAGAAAACATGGTGGCTGAAATGCTTCCATCAGAACGGATTATGAAGATTGTTGTTCTTTTCAAACAGCAAGATTATAATTTTAAAGCTACTAAATATATACCTACTGGATAGCAGAATATTCAAAATTAAGGAAGCAATCTAAAATTTCCAATTGAAGAGCCATGTTCCTGTTAATAGCAATTTTGAATATTTGAGTCTTGCAACATGACTCACAGAAGTGTTTGAAGAAGTTCTGTACTAGATCCTGGACTAATCTATGAAATGCCTCTACTGCATGAGAAAACTGAGTCAGTATACTTGTAACCCTTGCCAGCATCAACATTTCTAACAGATCAACCAACTGCCATTTCTGTCCACTTTTCTTATCAGGAGTAGCTAGTAAGATAAAACACTGTCAGTACTTAAGGGCTGATATCCATACTCAGAAAACATGGCACTTCTATTTGTGTATCTATTCTTTGTCCATCTTGTTGGTTTGGTACCTTATATTCCAGCCTCCTCTACATGTATTCAAGGTGGTTTTCCCCTAGAGTTATCACAACAAGTCTGTGAAGGTGGTTAGGATGACACAGCAACTGTCTCAAGGTCACCCAGTGAGTTCCATGGGCTAGTGCAGGGGTCGGCAACCTTTAACACTCAAAGAGCCATATGGACCCGTTTCCCACACAAAAGAAAACACAGAAAGCCGCAAAACCCTTTTGACATCTAAAATGAAGATAACACTGCATATATCGTTTTTTACCTTAATGCTATGTATATCTTCATTATGATTTAGCTGCAGCTCTTGTTCAGTCACTAAAAACTTATTTTTAATCTTACATTAGAAACTAGGACTCCTTTCATATACTTTGACTCTTCAGGAAGCTGTTCTTCTATTCAAAGTCAGTGCTAAAGGGCTGCATGCATTAAACAGCAAACCCCATACGTTCGTCAGCAGTAAAAGCAAATGAATTTACCCATTTATCATTTGGTTTGGTTTGGGTCTGGTTTTCTTCAGAAACTTTTCTCTTCTTCGATTTATCCATGGTTGGCCTGGGGGGTGGGGGAGCTCAGTAAATCGGCATGGGTCTGCAGATCGGAGATATAGGTGTGTTTAGTGACTGATTAGCAGATAAACAGTCAAGTGCTGTGAATTGTGACAGGTCCCAAGCACAGCTTTTAACATTCAGATGAAGGAGATTACATTGGGACAAAGAGAATCTTGTCAGTAGGGTTTCGTGTAACATGAGAGCCTGCAGGAAGCTTGTTTAGTAGAGGAATGTAGTGATTTACTTAACTAGCTGATTTACTTAACTAGCTAGTGCTGCGTTCCTGAGTGGAGCTTCGAGCAGACCAGAGGCTGTGCCGGCGCGTGCTGTGGGCGCGTGTTGTGACGGAGCCGCAGCGGAGGGGTTCAAGAGCCTCATGCAGCTCCGGAGCTGCGGGTTGCCGACCCCTGGGCTAGTGAGATCTGAACCAAATCTTCCTGCTCTTAGCCTGATACTCTTAACCACTACATATAACAAACTTCCTTGAAGGTGCTCTAGTCATCCGAAGTGCTACTACATTTTATGCCCTCAATCTTACAAGGGGGAAAAGAGAAAAAGAAAAGAGAGCAAGAGATAAATGAAAGGACTTGCTCAAAGTCACACATTAAGCTTCCTGGCTCTGTTTACTAGCATGGGACTTTCATTTGAGAATCCAAACATCAAACAGAACTCCCTATTAACAGAAAAAGAGTTACAAAAGCCAGGAACTGTGGGGCTTTTTTCTAGCTAAAGATCCATGGGATTGCACCCTAGGACACCTAAATCCTTTTCGCATGTAGTGCTGCCAAGCAAGGTCTCCTCAAAACATAACTTTATATAATCTTTTTCCAAATGTGGTCTTGTTGGTTTCAACAGTGTTCCAAGCCTATTAAGATCACTTTGAAACCTGATTCTTTTATGGTGTTAGCTGTCTTTCATAGCTTTGTGTTAACTGCAATTCTGATAAGCATACCTCTGATAAACATCCTCATCCAAGTAACTTATAAAAATGTTACATACCTCACTGCCTAGAACAAAAGCCTGTAGCACTGCACTTGAATCCTCCCTCCAGTTTGAAGCAAACAATTATCTACTCATTAGGTATGGTTGCTCAACCAGTTGTGGGGCCACTTAACTATGGTACTGTTTATCCCTGATTTTACTATCTTGTCAATAAAGATATAATGGAAAACCTTTTCTAATACTTTGCTGAAATCAAAATATATTATGTCTGTGGTATTCCCATGATCTATCAGGCTAGTAGCTTTATCCAAATAAACAAACAGATGATTGGTCTGACAAAATTCATTCTTAGGCACAGTTTTATAAATCAAATCGTATCTTAATAAACCCATGCTGGCTCCTAGCAGTCAATGCATTATTTTCTAGATTATTTTCAACCAGCCAAGTTGTTCTAGTCTGACTAGGACTGATGCTGGTCCATAATTTCCTAGATTCATCTTCCTACTTTTTTAAAGAAAGAAACATTAGCCCATCTACAGTCTTCCATTACCTCAGCTCTTCTCAAAGATTACAGACAGCAGATCTGAAATAATGTCCACAAGATATAGCCCTGAAGATTTAACCTAATTTAAAATAGGCAAGTGTTCTCTAACAATCTCCTTACCTACCCTGGGCTGCAAGTCCTCCCTTATATTGTCCATCTTACTTGGCCCAGGTCAACAGAATTCTTCTTACAAGAAAAGACCGAAGCAAAACAGGAACTGAGTAGTTCTACCTTCTCTATCACTTGTTAATACTTTAACATCTTCAATTTTCTTACTGATGTAAACACAGCTAAAGAAGCCCTTTCAGTCAAACACCTAACACTAAAGTACAAATTTAAATATTAAAACCTGGCATATTTTCTAGTGCAGAGGTTGAGGAATCTCTGGTCTGCCGGCTACACATGGCACATAAAGCTTACCCAACAGGGCCCTAGCCTTCCTGCAGCAATTAAACATGGAAAAGCCTCTTGCAACAACAGGAATAATTCTTCCAAGGACGAATTCCTTCTCTGGGATAGAGGAATGCTCCACAGTCATAAGGAAAATATCAGTTCTGCCCGCCCTACAATACTGCAACATACCCCACTCAAATCACCTCCTATGCAGCAATTTGGAAAATGCCCTCTGTTGGAGCTTGAAAGGCAATACAGGAGAATCACAGATCTGGCGTCGGTTGCAACTGCAAAGAATTTACTCTCCCCGTAACTCAACAGTGTAGTCCCCAGAAAGTTCCTCAGGAAGAAATGCATCCCTTTGGTCAAAAAAGATTATATACTTCTTTGACTTCCTATAGGCTACTACTAATTTGGTTGCATTGTGTAAAAAGCAAATTTTCTTTCATGTTTTCTACAGAAGTATTGCAACTGTTTCTGAAGTTCACATTTTCCCATGGTTATCATTCTTGCATGATAATATGCAGCAGACAAGATAGCATTGAAACTTAGAAGCTAAGCTATCACTTGTACTTGTGAGCAAGAAAGGGCAGGACTGGAATCCAGCTTCGGCTCCAAGCAAAAGGACTGATCAGTAAGAGTAGATAAAGAGTATGCATACATAATTTTAAAATACACTGGAGAAAAATTACTTATCTGTGCAATCATGAAGGGGAAAATAAAATTATTAATTTTCTATTAAATTTATTCATTACCTATATTTGCCTGCCTCCCAACAACATGTAAAACAAATACATTAACTCTTATAATGTTTTTACATAGAGAAGTTCAAACTTTGCAAATTTAGCTGAACTCTATTACTGACTTTTACCATTTGTAATTTGTATTTTACATTTTTAAATGCAAAAAATGTTAAACCATTCACCAAGAAAGGCTGATAACAATGTATGGATTATTGAAAAATACCTCATACAAAGCAGGAAAGATTCCAGGTAACCCATTTCCCACAAATGCCTTAAAGTGTGATAAATGACTCCAATGAATCAGAAATATTCTTTCAACCCTACCTTGCTCATGCCCCAATCTAAAAAAACTTTAGTGAGTATTCAGCTCTATAATAAATGAAATAAAAGTAACTGATAGAGGAAAAATGTCTGAAGAGTACCCCATGAACTTGGTGGTGGAATTAGGAGTTACTGTGCTGAATCCAGGCTTTAAAGAGCTACATAAAATATAAACACAGCCAATAAACAAACTAGCATTTTGTAAAGCCTTGAATTATACACTCCTTAAGCCTTGGGTCCTCAAACTACAGTCTGCGGGCTGGATCCGGCCTGCCATGCCCATTTATCCAGCCCGCCTCAGAGGTCTTGGACTCACCGCGCACACGTGGCGAGGCAGCAGGTTGCTCGCACGGAAATAGTTTTGGACTTGCTCGCAGAAAATGATCTCCGCACAAGCAAGCTGCTGCCTTGCCCTGTGAGCCCCCGCCTCACACATGTGCCCCTCACCGGCCTGCACCCCCCACTGGCACCACCTTGGCAGCCCGCACCCACCACCGGCATCTTTCAACTGGCCCTGTTGAAAAAGCTGGAGGCCCCCTGCTTTAAGCAGATAATGCACACTACTGTGTGCAGCCTATGGCCCTTGTAGAAAGAAGAGCCCACACAGCAACACAGTGGAAATCCCTCAGTGGGAATATGAGTGGTCAGGACATGGGGAGAGAAAAGGAAGGAGGACAGGATTAAGTATTCCTTTCCCCTGCTGTTCCTCTGCTCATGTTAATCCTCATAACTATTTGCATCATGTGTACCTATACTTTTGTACAACATGTACATCTTCATTTGTTTAGCTGTTAACTGCAACACCCAAAACGGTTTGCTGGGAAACCTTTGTGTATCTAACTGTTAGCAGCGGCGACTAGCAATTCCACAGGTCTATAAATGGGACAAACATCTTTTCCTAAAAGTGGATCTGAATTTTTACAGCAATTTTAATCTCGTAGGTTTGGGAGGGATTAAAATTGATGTGTGTGTGTGTGTGTATTTCTGAATGATTTAAAGCAATGGCATTTAAACACAAGGATGACGCTTTCATTTACAAGATATAAACAGAAGTTTATGTAATGACTACTAGGATAGTCAAATGAAATGATGGAGGGTTGCTTTTTTAATTCGTATTTCTTAGCAGCACAAGATGACTTGGTAGAAAAATCACTAAAACTATTACACTTAATGTATGAAAGACATTATGATGAACTCAAAGGATATGAGTTCTGAATCTGTAAAGTTTAGCATCATGGAGTGCATTTGCACCAACCTACACACACACGCACACACACACACTTAAAGGCAAGATGAAAAACAGAGACCAAAAGTCACATATGGCTTTAAATAGGGCTGGGCAGAAAGCTGATCTCCAAAATTCAACTACAAGAAGCCCATACCAGCATGGCCAATAGACAGGAATGCCTGGCGCTAGAATCCAAAACATCATCTTCTGCCAGCCACTGACCTAAAGTAAGATAATCCTTGCATTCCAAACCCTAATAAATCAAAGGTTGTTCTACATTTAATTTCCCATTCCTACAAACATGGAAGCTCATGATAACAGTTCAAAACTGAATACAGGCAAGTCCCCAGGTTAAGAACATTCAAGTTACAAACAACCTGTACTTACAACTGTCATAAAGCCTATTAATTTAAAATTCCAAGTTAAAGACAAACAGTCCATATTTTTTGGAGTTTTGCAACCTACTGTGGAAAACTGTCATCACCATAGAGGGAGAAGCAGCAAAAGGGGAGAGAGGGAGGGCCTCCAAAGCATGCACAACTGCCCCACCCATCTAGAGAAGGAAATCTCTACAGCATTCTTCTTTGCAATGAGGAGCACTGATGAACTGGTGGGTGGCTATTTGCATTTTTTCCAATTTTGCAGGATTCCTTTGCCCCTAACCCCTGCAAATGTGGAGAGCTGACTTTATATGTAAGTGTTTAAGTGTTGTACATGCATTTTATATGCGTGATCCAACTTACACACAAATTCAACTTAAAGATGTTCTCAGGAACAGAACTCATTTGTAAACTGGGGACTGCCTTTACATGCAAAAAGCCTGAATTCTTTAGCAAACCTCACTGTTTTCAAGGCCTAATCAAAATGTTTTACAATAAAGTAAGATAACAATTTCAGGATAAGGGCTGGAGTACACATTACATTTTGCCACAGAGATGCTGCCAAAGTCACCATATTGGTCATAATGTATAGAAATACTTACTGTGCGGAGCTCCATGATCATGTTATGAACTTCCATACTCCTGTTTTCAGCAGTATCGCCACCATGGCAAATGTAGTTATGTGCTCCAGCCCTAAGAATACCAAATGCAATATGTCCATCATAACTAAGCTCACACGCCATACATTAAAATAATATACCATGTATAATCTACATGAAATATACATGTTGGATAAACTCTTCAGCACATTATAGTTTCCCATTGCCCTTCTTGGTAAATACAAAATCACCAAAATTTTTGCTAGACACATTTTCCACCACAACACTGTATGCCATGACTAATCAGCACCTAATGAAACAAATTGATTTTGATGTATATGTATGACCTGAAGATTCACTGAGGAAGCCACCCATTCATACATATTTTGTTTTAAGCAAACCAAAAGAGCCAGTGTGTGGGTTCGAGTCCCCGCTCAGCCATGGAGCCAGCTGGGTGACTTTGGGCCAGTCACAGACTCTCAGCCCAACCTACCTCACAGGGTTGTTGTTGTGGGGATAAGATGGAGGAGGAGAGATGATGTAAGCTGCCTTGAGCCCTTTGTAGGAAAAAGGCAGGATATAAATCCATAAATAAATAAATAAATAAATAAAAAGAAAAACAGAGCCTACAAATTAAATTTATGGATTCCAAATAACTCATTTTCAGTTAGAACTCTTAGGATTATCAATAAGTTTTTATATCAATAAGCATAAAATAAAGTTACTCTGCTCAGGTCCAAAATGGAAAATCTCAAGGGTCTGGCATTTTCTGCCTCAGCTCTGATCATACACATTGGAAGATTCAAGCCCAGTATAGTGGGTAAGTTTTTTGGCTAAGTTCTTTGATTACTTTCTAGCTATGAAGTATACTGGGTGTCATTGGGCCAATCACTCTCATTCACTTACCCTGAGTTAAAGTAACACCAAATACAAGTACAGTGAAATAAGCATGGAAGGAAAATAAGGAATACATCAGGAAATTGTCTTATGTCATCTCTACTTTCCTCTACTTTTATGTGTTTCTTAATCTATTGACATTTGCTGTCCCTGGTAAAGATATTCTATACACTACAATAATCTTTTGCTACAAATAAAATGCTAATTAACCCCACAAGACACAAGCATATTATAATATGATACCCAATGTCTAACTTTTCAAACTCTGGAGATGGGGATCTACTTTTGCCATCTTTGGTTTTTCACTGGTAAATTAACTTGTATCACATCAGGGCACTCATTCTAAAGTATAATATTTTATATGACATTTAGCAATTACCTAATTCAACAACCAAATGGAAAGAAAGAAGACATCCTAGTCACTTCCTTCCACCAATTAAACAAGAGAAAACATTGTCATTTGGATCCTAAGTCTGCATGAGTTAAACGGCACAAGGGATGTTCACACTGCAGCAAAGGCAACAAGTGATTTTCATTGAGTTTCCCCTTCTCCAGCAGGCCCCTGTGCCTTCCAGAATTCAATCTCAAAAGCTGAGGGGACTTGTAGAACTCTGGACACAATGGTGCTAGGGAAATGCTACAGGAGAAAAGGAAAAGGTGTAAAAATCGCCTCCTCCATCCCATGCCATCTCTGCCACCAGGAGCCTCCGCTGAATCAGAATCTCTTCTGTTTGTAATGCTGCATTCTCCCTCTGCAACTAGAAGAATTCTGACAAGTAATGCTTCAAAAGCCAGTGGCAAATAGCAGCCTTGTAATTTTGAGGATTTTTTTTCTTTGGGACTGTAGCCATAAGAGCAATAGTCAATATATTCACAGACTTGTGGATAAAGGTCAGTGTTAACATTTAGACATTGAAGCTTCTAGCCACAGAAAAACAACTTTACTGCCAAAATAATGACAACAGATGTATTAGCCAACTGTGACACTATTTGTAGGGTTTCAATTCATTCTCAAAAATACTTATGTTAGCTGATCCAGGAAAAAAACTGAAAAGCAGGGAGAAAACTTAAATCCTCATTTTTTTTACTCATACCAACTACTCAAAATTTTGATGTTTGAGAAAGTTGCTTGTTTTTAATAAAAGTTTATCCAAGATCTTATGGACTGAACATGACCTCTAAAACAATCTGTGGCTGAAGTCCATACATTTTCAAAGTTGTAATGGGATATACAGAAAAAAATGCTTTAAACAGCATGTATACATTTGGACTATGTGCATGAATAAATGAAATAGGCACAAACATGCTTTAATCAACACATAAATTCAAGGAAGAGCACAACAACAATATGCAAGGTAACACACAAAATTTTCATTTGAAAAGGAAAAATATCCCTGATAATTACAATCCAATATGGGCACATGAAAGAATTTGCTTCACAAGATGGAATTTGGAGGACTTCGATGAACTTAAGTTTTGCTTGTAATCAAATCCCTACTCAGAGCAGAAGTCTTATTTTAATGTTTGTTTTTTCTGTAAAGTATGATTTCAGTCTTAGCAGGCATAGTTAAACATAATTCAGAGGCAGTTACGCCACTGCTATTTTACTTACAATCTACAATCATACAGCAGAAACTAGCAGCAAATGTATTACTACAGCACAATAAACCCCAAATTAAGTAGCTATTTAAATATTTTAATACAATATCTTAATTAATGCAATATGAAGTCTTAAAATTTGCTATCCATACATTTAGAACCTAAATATGCTTACTCGGGTCCTGCTGAACTCCATGGAGTCTAATAAAAAGTAAATATACTTAGTATTGCAGCCTTCATTGACTTGACTGAGACAAAAGGCCAGCTCACAGTGGCTTAATTTGCTTGTGAGGGCTATTGTGCTTTCCTGGCCACTATTTTTGCATGATATCCACAGATAACCCACAAATAACCCTAAAATAAGTTATAGGTTATTTGACTTATTGAGACAAGCCAAGGATTAGGGAAACCCCCTTTGGCTTGGGTCCATACAACATTACAAACCATGACAATCATAGTGCCAGTGGATGCCTGTTATGACACAGCAGGCCTTGTGGATAAATAAAGTCATGATGGGGTATCATATCATGTGAAAAGGGTAAATGTATAGATGTCTTACCAGTGAGACAACTGAAATATTTTTAGTCTACAGATTCCTTTAACTTTCCGAATCAAAATGATTGTTTCCAATTTTAAAGAAAAGCAACAACTGCTTTAACTGTATATAAACTATTTTTATATCATGGTGCAATGCTAGCGATTTTATAAACATGAAGTTTGTATGCTGTACCAGAGCTATTACTAACAATAATAGAATCGAAAGCATAGCACAACATAACTGTAAATGCTATCTGGAATGATCCTCACTGACTTGACCGAGACCCACATTTCTCTACAGACCAAGAAAGGTGGAATTGCTCTAGACACAATATTTCCACCCAAATGTTATGGCAGGATTACCACTAACACTAGCAACCAATGGACATGAAAAGTTAAAACAGGTTACTTTGAAGAAACTGCAAGGATTATTCCTAGGGCACTGATAGGGCTGAACTACTGGGTGCGAGGCTAGGACCTACAACCCAGAAAGCCCCCAAACACTACTACCACTACTACTACTATTTTACATTTCCATACTGCCCATAGCTGAAGTTTTCTAGCCAGATCACAACATTTTAAGTCACCCATCCAGATTTCATCCAGGCTCAACCCTGCTTAGATTCCACAATTAGGCAGGATCGGGCACTTCAGACTATATGGAGGCTATATTGCTGTATGTATATTATTAAAAATCCTTTCAGAAGATTGTCTATGTGTAATCTCTTCTCCTGACCAAGTGTGCTGATTTTCCCTATGCATGCTCCCCACCTTCATCAGCAGCATCTTTGCTCTTTCTCTCTCTGTTTCAACTTTGGAAGATGTGCCCTGCAGCTTCATTTCTCCAGGATGCCTCTAAGCAACTCCATGTTGACCCAGAGGTTACTGTGTGTGCCTGTCACTTTATTCTACAGCATGCATGGACTCTTCTAACAGATGAAAGAAATAGAGAGAAGGAAAAGTTGACATTGTTTAGTAATGAACAGGACAGAGAGAGTGGATGAAGAAGCACAAGAAAGGGGACAGAAACAAGAGAGGACTCACCAGACGCAGGGAAGGGTAGGAAAAAGAACAATAAGGGGGAGAAGCTACATACTCTTCCTAAAAGCCTTCTTTCTCTAGTTCCCCTAGTCTGACAGCACAACTGATTATTCCATTGCCCATCATGATTATTCCAGGAGACAGACAATATTAATTTCTACAGCCATGCAGTATATTAGTTTAGGGATCTATTTTTCAAGTTAGAAATTGACAGAACACATTTCACCTAACTCAACTTGCTATCATATCAAATGTTTTGCAGAGCATTTGGTACTGAACCCATTTTCTTACATACAGAAAAATACATTCCCTTATTTTACCTCTGAAATGTTTGTAACAGACACAAAAGGTCATTATGCTCATAACTCCTTGAACTCAGAGCTTAGGAACATCATGTACAGACAGAAAGAGCAGTTGTGGCCATTGTTGCCTCTCCATCTTCCCACCCTGCATTTTTGCTACACTGGCTTTTTTGCCTATCTAGCAAAAGTGTTTCAGAGGGAATGAGGGTGAAAAGGCCTCAGAGATAGCTGGTATCATGACCTCTCCAGTCTCCTCCACTCCCTGCCCATCATAACTCTCTGAGATTGTGTTCCCACCACAGAGACCCCAGAAAACCAATAACTGCATCATATATTCCAATTCTTCAGTGCACTGGAACACAGCCAACAAATACAGATTAATTCTGCTGAGAACTCCAAGATTCAACCTTATCCTTAAACATGCTAACAAGGTAAATAGGTAAGATTGGAAGTTTATCTAGGCATGCTATATAAAATATCCCTAAAAGTACCAACATGTTAATTAACAAAGGAAAACTCAAATGAGCCTAATCCTATTTCTATCTACTGTGCTATCCCATATTGGAGCATACAAAAAACAGAGCTTCCTGCAGAATGTGGATGTTAAGAAAAACATTTAAATCCACTGGCTGTATTCACACACAACAATAACCAGAAATCCTGGTTTAATGAATCACAGCATACAAGCAACTCATACATTCCAGCTTCTCTCCTCCCT